GTGTTTGTTTCTTTCAAGAACCTCGGAAGGAAAGCTTTTTGAGAAGAGGCAAAGAAACCACTCGGTGGCTACAAGGGAAACATCAAAGCCCATATCGTCAAGATGAGTAGCTATTCTGCAAAAATATGTAATGTTTCTTTCAGTGAGTGATTTTCGTGATCAAAACAGCAAGATAATCCAAGAATTTGATCAACTACTGAAGCTCAGAGACCAAGAGCTAAGTAAGATAAAGAAAGACATACCGAGGGCACTTTTGCGCAAGCAAATCTTTGAAAACCCGCTGCTCAACATGGCATCCAGACAAGTTGGTTGTGTAGCAGTCACGGACTAATACGTTTTCCAAAAGAACTGCGAGCATCCAGAATGCGTCTTCTTCTGTCTTCATCACAAGCAATAGTAACGCTGCAACGTAATTTAGGCCCTGCACACAAAAACGGCATTTATTAAGATGAAAACTCTTTTTGAATAGAGAAAATGAAGAATGGGAATGTACCTGACAATAGCCAACATCAGAATCGCGAAAGGAATACCCAACAAGCACACGTCGTAGTGCAGCATGACCCTCTGGAGTGTCCAACCATGGATGGCCTGGGAAAGTCCGTGGCAGATCCTGCAAGAGTAGAGACACAATGTCAAAGGCGAATGATGAGAAAGTTCCGAGGAGGTTGCACAATAAGATAATGCAATCAACTTATCATAGCACAGTCTCGAATGACCATCAATCAAACATTAACAGCAGATGAAAGGCTCTGCTATAAGTTGCCTGAACACAAGAATGAACAACGGATCTAGAACAATCCTAAAGCATAGGATTCAATTGAAATATTTGGAAATGGAACCGCACTTTTTGGTTTTCTGCAGCCAACAAAAATCTTAAATTATTGAAAAAATACTATCTGAGAGGCACAATGTCAAGATCAGAGTAATGAAATCAACTATTCATAACACATAACATATCAAGCAGTCATCTATAACCATCATACAATAGTAGTAGTAAGTAGAAGAGATAGGCTTTGATAGAGTTTTCAAAAGTAGGCTTTAGTTACTTCGCCTCAACACAAGAATGAACAATAGATAGATCCACACCAACAGACCAAATCAATTCTAACACAAAGGATCAGCCAAAATCAAATCCAAAATTCCCTGAAAATACTAAGAGTTCTGTGAAGAACAACAAACCCAATTAAACCTTAAATCAACAGATCAGTCAAGGACTTATAAACACAAACAGGAAAATGATAATTCATCGCTTTCCTTGGAAGAAGAAGAAGTTAAGAAAAACAAAAAATTGAGACTTTGGATAAGATCAAACTCACATGATCGATCTGCCGAGTTGCTGGCGTGACCTTTCCGTCGACGGCCTTGCTCAAGTCACTGTAATAACTATCCGGCACGGTGGACTTCTTTTTGGCGGCACCGGAGAGAGAAAACCAGACCTTTGGCCTGAGAACCGGCGGGATCCCTTTCCTAATCAGCCTCTTCAAGGTGATTGCATTCGTCAAGGTCGAGATCTTGAGAGATGTTTTCAAGGCGATTCCGTCACCGATCAAGAGAATCTCCGGCTGAAGATACCAGTTAGCTCCTTTGCTAGCTTCCAAAGCCCACCAGACTCTCCCTTGATTCCTAACTTTCTCCCTCACTTCGTTCAACACGTTCACGTCGTCGACATTTCCTTCCACCGTGAATCCGTACAAGTCCTGGAATTTGACGACGATGTTGGCTCGTCTCGCGTGGATGCTCGGACGGAGAATCGGAATCTGAGATTGCAGCTCCATGGTTAAATCCCTTCTGCTTTGGATCCCAAACATCCTCGGATTTTCTTGGGGCTTTTTGTCTAAATTGCAAATGTTCTCCAGATTTATCTTCTTCCTTTTCTCGGGGTATTTCGTCAATTTCGGACTAAGCACGAGCACGGAAGCATGACACCGTCAAAAACAAACGAGGCTGCTACAAAGAAAAAAAAAAATCAAGTTCCTTTCTTGAATTAAAAAAAGAGCTAAAATCTTATCAAAATTGCAACCTTTCAATATTTTAATGTTGTCACGTTCTGCAAACGCTATCGCCTTGAAGCTCTTCTTTTTCTCCTAGAATCTTCTCCTCTACGCAGTCAAATAAATTCGAGTTCTTTTTTTTGTAAATTAAAAATCCAGAAACGGAAAAAAGGAAGCCAAGAACAATTTTTTTTTTGTCTCTCTCTCTCTCTCTCGTGTGAGGAACAAATGACACTAAAAATGGAAAAGAGAGAATAAAAACACCCGTAAATAAATAGTTTCTAGGTGAAGAAAAGGAAAATTATTAACTGAAAGAAATGAAAAATCCAGAGGAGCGTTGAATTGAATCCCGCGTCTCTCGGTGTCGAAAAGAGAAGAGAGAATGATTGAGAAAAGTTGGAGGAGGAGAGATGGATGTACGAAAGGGAGAGATTATCTCGAGATAGACTTGGGGTTGAATCGTGACCCTCGAATTTTTATGGGGTTATTTTATAATTTCTTGAAGATAATGATTTTGGGACGTTGGAGACTGGATTAGTAGGAAGATTAGTGACTCTTTTTTTTGAATCATTGTTATAGCGAGAATATGATTTTCTCCTTCTTTTTGGTAAATGACTATATGCCCCTGAGTGTCTGCATTGCGTCTGTCATTTTCCGAGGACAATTGTGTAATAGAGGATGTGTGTAATGAATTCTCTTAACACTAGAAATAAAGAAATAAAGAAGGAAGGAAGAATTGGATTGTCTAGATTTGAATTAGAAATATAAAATCTCATGCCTGATCTTTAAGTATTTATCTCTAATTCAAAGTTAATTGGTGGTAATCAATGCAATAAACAATGTCTTTTTATATACTTTAATTGATTTTATGTTACTTTTAGAGTGCATAAATCTAAACTTAGAACTGAATTATAAACAAAAGCGAGAAAAATAAGATCACTTAAATCAGGTTAAGTTATAAAATTTACAAATGTAAGTTTAAATCAGTTAACTATTTTAACTAATTTGATTAAAGTTTCTGTGGTTGAACCCCCTAAACCTGAGTTCGTTTTCACATGGTGTTAATTGACACCCTTAAAAACATTTTTTGGGTCTGCCATTGTTTATAAACCTATATACTAGATTAAAGGCAGAATATGAATGTTAAAAAATAGAGAATTTTATTATATTTAAGATTAAATTAGATAAATTAGAATTTAAACTGCATAAAACAAAAGATGATATCTAAATTACATAATATGTATTCTGAAATGTGTAAACTAGATAACAAATTCTAAAAATGGTAGAACTTAATTTTATTTTGAATTGGTAAAATATATTATAAATTATAAAAGACGTAAAATCTAAATCGTGTAGGTAGAAAATAAACTCTAAACTACATAATACATATTCTGAATTGCATAAATTACAAATTCTAAGAAAACGTAGAACTTATAGATTCTAAAAAATATAAAATTTGAATTGCGTAAGAGTTGGATCATATATCAAAAAATTTAACCTGCTTCAGTTATTACCCAAAAAAAATCTGAATTTAAAAAACTGATGGAAATAACAAATGTTTTGATCCTATATTTTTAATCAGGACAAATCTAAACCTAATATAAATTAGATTCAAATTTTAATTTTAATTTAGAGCCGTGCCGTGCGTTTAAAAAATCTTAAAACTTAGAGAATGTGAAAACGTGCTGAAGTGCCATATAGTAGCCTATACTTAAAACAGTTAAGGTGTTTATATGATAGGGACACGTACATTTCTTACGATAAAAATCAATAGAGTATTGGAACCTATTGGATCTTACTCTCTCATCAGGAAAGAAAAAATGGTATCCCATAATGGGATCATATTCTCTCATTTATTTATCAGATTTGCTTAAAAATACGTGAGTACACGACTCCACTAAGTCACTAACCTTCATAACTTTGCGTTTCAAAAGTCTAACCACTCTGAATCCTGCCAGTTCGTTCTAACAATATAATATGTCCTTTTTTGTAATTTTGTAAATAAAACCATCTGAGTGAAATGCAAACTATATACATAGTGAGTTACTTATCAAACTATATATAAATTTCAGCACTACGTATAATAAAAAGAAGTTAGTTCTTCACTACGTCATTTCTTAAAATCCACGCATGAGTGGGATGAATTAGATTCGCCGGTAAGACGCAACACAACCTCACCATTACTTAAAAAAATTGGATAATGCCTCTCTTAATAATTTGAGTCTGAAGATTAACATTACTAGCTAGTCCAATTGAACATATGTCTCAAATAAACGCTAGTCAATTTTGTGTGTTTGATTTACGGAGAAATTTGGAACAAGAAAAGAAAATAACAGAGCTTGAAACTAAATTAAAAATAAACAGAAAGAAGAATTTGGATGGCACGATCCTCTCTCTGTTTCTGAATGATCCATTCCAAATTACCAAATAGAGCAACTTGATATGTTATATCGTTGTAATTTGAGAGCTTACAACTCTTATATCGTTGTAACGACTTCCTCGAATTACCACTTTTCCACTGGATCACACGCAAGTTCACTCTTGGGCCTATAACAACCTTTTGTTCCTCGGCCCAGAATATCAACACACATTAATGATTAATCCGGTCAGTTTCATCTGGTTAGATGCCAAACCAGAAATTAAATAATTGAACCAAGAACCAATTTCACACCTAATAACACGTTTCTTTCTGAACATTTTGGAAATTATTTAGTCAATTGATATATTTAAATGTTCCGTGTGCTGTTGGGTGCATTTTTTGAAATTGACCCTTATAAATCACCAAAATATTCTCTCCAACTAACTTAGAATATTGAACTAATAGCACCAGTTTTTAAATGACATGAGAATCTTCTTGGAAACGAACTCCCCCAGAAGATTACTACAACACAGTGTATCTGTTTTGTAAGAAGATGTAGTGTACCCCACAAACATCTGTGTTCCCGCCGTAACCAGTTTCCTCGCAAAGCCCTCATTTTTTGGTTTCAAAGGAATCATCTGTTTAAATTTGTGATGGGAATATGGAAAAAGAAAAGCAGTCACAAGAACAAAGTTTGCTACATTTCAGTTCCAGCTCAGATCATAAATTCAGTTTCCTCATCGTCTCTACACTCTTTTCTCGATTTTCCGGATGATAAATCTTCAAAGAAGAACACAAGCAAATTCCTCAATCTCAAAAAAAATTTCATCAGAAACCCAAAGCTCTGGGCTTTTTCCCTCTTTTCACTTTCTGTTTTGGGGATTTTATTAAGACTTGGATTTTGTGGATACCCACATCACGAAAGTCAACTTCAGAGCTCGGATTCAAATGGGTCTCCTAAATCTAATCTGGGTTTTGAGTATACCCGATCAAACACTGAGATGTCGAGGGCCAAGGATCGATCTTTAGATAGGATTCCAAAATCAGCAGTGGGTGTGGAGAGAAATGAGACATTTGGTGGTGAAGCAAAGTTGATCACCCATAATGGAGATGGACATGAGTGGGATGATGAAAATGATTTCTGGAAACAGCCTGATGGATTAGGCTACAAGCCATGCTTGGATTTCAGCACTGAATACAGGAGAGAGAGTAAGAAGATTGGTAGGGAGAGGAGAAAGTATCTGATGGTGGTCGTCTCTGGTGGGATGAATCAGCAGAAGAATCAAATTGTGGACGCAGTTGTCATTGCGAGGATCCTAGGTGCTGTTCTTGTCGTCCCTATATTGCAAATCAATCTCATTTGGGGTGACGAGAGGTAAATAGAACCAAAACAATTTGATAATATGGATCTAGCTCGATCTATAGAATGTTAATTTATCTTCATCCATCATCTTGAATGTTTTTTTTTTTTTTTGTTTTTTTCCTTTGCAGTGAATTCTCAGATATCTTTGATTTAGAGCGATTCAAGAATGTTCTAGCAAATGATGTGAAGATTGTTTCGATGCTGCCTGCAAGTAAACTAATGACTAGACCATCAGAAGATGGTGGTATGGCCTTTAATGCATCCCCTCAATGGATCCGTTCGCACTATCTAAAGCGAGTAAGATCATTCAACATCTTTTGATCAATCTAAGTGATGGAAAATGAGAAATAATGTTCAATGATTTTGATTCTCCTTAATGGTGTTTCCTGCAGTTCAACAAGGACGGAGTTCTGGTTTTGAGGAGGCTTGATTCAAGATTGTCTAAAGACTTACCCTCTGATCTCCAGAAGCTCCGTTGTAAGGTATGTTTCTGACTCGAAAGCAAAAAGTGTTTTAGTTTTTTTTTGTCCCAATTTAACATAAAAAAAATGTTGTGTTTCAGGTAGCATTTGAAGCTCTGAAGTTCTCGCCACGGGTTATGGAGATAGGGAAGAAGCTTGCAGAGAGGATGAGGAGCAAAGGGCCTTACATTGCGCTTCATCTTCGAATGGAGAAAGATGTGTGGGTGAGAACGGGCTGCCTTTCTGGTTTGAGCTCAAAGTATGATGAGATTGCAAAAACAGAAAGGATTAAGCGGCCTGAGCTCTTAACAGCTAAGTCTACTATGACATCTAATGAGAGGAAACTTGCCGGTCTCTGTCCATTAAATGCCAAGGAAGTGACTAGGTAATGACTTAGCTACTGGTTTTCTTGCAAGATCTTATGTGTTGAGAGAGATATTGGTTTACCTTTGTTTTTAAGGCTGCTTAGAGCACTTGGAGCACCGAGAGAAGCAAGGATCTATTGGGCGGGAGGGGAACCGCTTGGCGGAAAAGAAGCTTTGAAACCATTAACAAGTGAATTCCCACATCTTTACAACAAACACGATATTGCATTGCCCCTTGAACTCAAACCTTTCGCAAAACGAGCTTCGATAATGGCAGCAATCGACTACATCGTGTGTAAGGAGAGTGATGTGTTTATGGCATCTCATGGAGGGAACATGGGCCACGCGATTCAGGTTCACATTCCTAGGTCTCGGTTGTTTTAAAAGTCAATTTCTACGTTTGCATTTACACATTCATTAAGGTAAGTTGTTAAATTATTCATTCATTCAGGGTCACCGAGCTTATGAAGGACACAAGAAGCTTATAACACCAAACAAAAGACACATGCTCCCATACTTTTTGAACACATCAATGACTGAAACAGAGTTTAAGAAGATGATAAAGAAATTACACAGACAATCTCTAGGACAGCCAGAATTAAGGATTAGCAAAGCTGGAAGAGATGTTACAAAGTATCCTGTTCCTGAGTGTATGTGCAATAATCAATCCACTTCCACTACTTAAAGCTCTTTTTTTTTGCATATATGGTTTTGAGACAAAAAAATATGCTCTATTTAATACAGCTTTATTTTGAAACAGAACTCCTTGTAACATGGTCTTTTCATTAAAAAGATCATCTTAGGCAAAAAAAAAAAAAAGAAGAAGCTGTTACTGATCAAAACCCAAGAGATTGTGATTCACAAAGCGGACAGAAACATATGAGACGATTACTCAAATACTTATTGAACAAAAAGCTCAATGTCTTTTTAAAAAAAGAAACAAATCTCTCACCAGGAAACTCTGCAGGGCAATAAACTTAAAGCTTCTAGAGCTAAACCAATGTATGGGAATCAGTAAGATTTTCCACAGTGTATCAAACTGCCCGCACCTAGAAAAAGACCGAAAACTGCTGCGCTGCCCAAGGTTGTTTGCCCTATGAATCTAATCTTCATAAGCCCAGGAACCTGCAGAAATAAAGAAAAAGGAACAAATGATCATCAAGGAGCAATCCAAATCCAATATGGAATCCAAATATTATGTTAATTTTGACATAAGTATATATTGAGATTGTTTTCACAGTGGTTTACGCATAGTGACAAGAACATTACTAGTCTAGACATCTATCGTATCTAAGATTAAAATGCTATAACTTTCAGTTTTATCAAAGATCATAAACAACACAGCAAGTGCAATCATTACTGAAGGGCTTCACTGAAATGATGACAAATACATAAATACACAAGCCTATTAGAGTTAATGCTCAAAGTGAAGGCAGGTATTGTCCAGTGCGTTTTCGAAGAGTGAGTATGTTCCTATGCATAATCCGTCAGAAAGGACTGAACTTTACAAATTAGTAGTCGGAAATCTCTTACCTTGAATCTAATCGCCTCGTAAGTTCCATAGACAGCACCTGAACACACAAGATTTTGTCAACAAACAAGTAGAAATCTATCTATCTATCTATCTCAACACCAAAACTCGTGTGCAACAAAATTATACCCCAAATTTCTAAAATCGGATCATTCTTCGGATACATTTAAAGGCACTGTATATTCGAGATTGTCGCAGCCATTCGATAAACAAAGAAAAAGGGATTTAGGGTTTTTCCGAGTGGGCAATCAAATTGAAGGGAATGAAAGTTTACCTACAGCACCGCCTACTGCGCCGCCGACGGCAACTCCGGCAGTGATTCTGGCCAAACAACTATCTTTAGCCATCGTTCAACAGCTTAGGTTTTTTTCTTCTTCCTTTTTATTAAAAAAGATTTTGAGACAACTTTGTTGTGTGTTCTGTCGGGAAATTATTCATAAAATTTGAGGTTGACCTCGTCGATTTTTAATGTGTTTTTTTTTTCTTCTTCAAAGTTTTGCCTTGCACAATGGATCGGTTTTGCCTTTTGCAGCAAGGACAAGCCACACCGACCTAAACCAATCTAAACCGCTTCGAACCAAATCTGTAGAAGACGACGTCGTTGGTTTACAGCTTGACCCAAATTCATAGCCCGATCAACTTGACCGGATCATATCCAACCCGGCATTCATTTTGCGAATTTTTCTGTTCATTTCTTACTTCAATAATTTTCATTTGATTACCATCTCTGTTTTCTATAAGACAGAGAGAAATACAACAATATATTATCTACGTTTTTTTCTTGAGAAAAGGGTTTACATAAATCTTTGCATATTGATTGGACGTTTGGTGTGATATATACCTCCTATAAACGTTCACAGATAAAATAAAATTAGCAATTATTTCTCTAATTAAGTAAGAGATTGCAACAATTTGTACAAAATTCCTTATATTTTCAAAAAGTGTAACTCCATTATAGAAACGAAAAATCTTATTCACTCTTTCTCTGACAACTGGTTAGCATAACTGGAAATTTATTCATACAAAAACAAGTATCTGACAAATCAAATGCATTCGCAACTCCATAATGTAAATCTCTTCATAACAAAAAACGAAAACTACTCTTCTCACTTAAGTCTTCCTCTTACTAACACGAGCGACATATCCTTTGCTGACCTGTGTCACTGATCGTCCTGATCCACACTGCCAAAACAAAAATGAATCGATCGGTCATATTTCCAGATATATATATATAGTTGGATACAGATTTCTCAGAATATGGCAAAACTCAATTGGATAATTCTTTAGTTAGTATTAAGACAGTAATCACTCAACCAAAAGTATTGTATCACTATAATATCAGACAAAGCAGGCAAAATCATCAGTAGGTAAAAAGAAACAGCAATTATTAAACATAATGGTTTTTTAAAGGTATCAAGTGCAAGATAACAGAGAGCGTAGCCTCAGCATGGTTTAAGTATCCATTTCACTGCTAAAATCAAACAATGTAGGCAACTGGTTTAATTACCAGAGAGGCCCATCTAACAAATTTTAAACAAAAAAATCAAGTAAATTTGTTGGCTTGTTAATTCATGTTAAATCAATTTTGTTCAACAAAATGATGTAGCTAATAAGCGGTTTTCTCACTGAATCACGCAGTAAGCCAAAAAAAAAAAAATTGTGCAAGGCAAGAGAAGTTTACCTTTTCACATCTCACGAAGAAGAGACGATTCTCCTTTGAAAGAACCGTGTCTCCGCTCTTGCAACCAAGGCAAATGACGTAATCAGCTGGAAAATAACCACAATCAGGAACCGCAAAATAAGAAAGAAATAATCAACACAAGGATATGTTACTCCAAATCTTGAGATTAAAAGGAAACTATACTTACTGACATATCGCCGCAAAATAGCTTCAAAGTTCTTGGGCGCAAATCTCCCTTTGACAACCAACCTTTGCTGCCCATCAAGTGAACCAGTAGTACCCAACTCAGCAAGCAAGAAATTCATAACATGATCTGGTTGTCGATGCATCCTGAAAAAAAAATGCCAAATACAAACATCAAAAATCACTACGTTCTAGTAATTATAGTTATATATATAAAAAAAGTTTGAAAACGCAAGATATGGGATTTTGTTCATACGTCTTGCAAAGGTCCATAAAGTTGACAAAAACTGTCTTCTTTGTCCCCTCACGAAGAACTTGAGGAGGCCTCATTTTTGTACGACACCTATCTCCAGCAAGCTCCGGATTATTTTCACGCAGAATGTTATAGACCCTCCCAAGAATCTGCACAAGCATACATCTCCGATAAAAAAACAAAAAAGAACAAAAAAACAAGCAAGAAGGATGCGTTGACTTTAAGGAAATAATCCTCCAAAGCAATATAAATTTTAAATCCCAACTGTTTTAGAGTAACCAAAGATAATCAACTATGCTTGAATACAGAGGCTATCTATGATAATGTTTACCTCCTCATATAGGTAATATCTATCACTTCCTTCCCAGGGATAACGTTTCTGCTGCGGGATTACTCCTCCTCCCTCTTCCCCATCGTTACCATGCTCTGCAAGATCTTGTATGTAAGTAAGATACAACAAAATAGAAGCTGCATTAAGAAACTAGTAATTAGTAGCACAAAAAAATGGTAAGGAGTTTCAAACCACCATCCAAATCTTCTACAGCTTGATCAACACTTTCGTCATTCAGTGAGCTAGAATCAACCTAACCATTAAAAAAAAAAAAACCAATGTAAGGTGAGTCACTATCAATACACAAGTTTGAAGAAAACTAAAAGAAGTTAGGAAAAGCACTAATTTAGCCTTAAACGCTTACTGGCTTCTTCTTTTTCTTCAGTCCAGTAAATGCACTCCCGAGTCCGTCATTAACTGCTGAAAAATAAAATCAGATGAAGCATTTTAGAATAAACATAAATAGCATTGAGGGAAAAAAAAAGTTGTGCCGCAGCACATTGGAATCTTCTTCACTGTACTTGGCAAGAAATCAGCTTTCTCCATCTGTTGTGGTTCTGTGGTCTCCGCAAGATCCTGAAGAACAACTTTCTTCTTCTTTTTCTTTTTGGTTGGGTCAAAGGGTGCAAACTGACGTAAAAGAGCAATGAAAACAATCATAATTAGTAGAGATAATTAACACAAAGTGAAGGAAGAAAACAGATATCTATGAATATTTTAGGAAGATATAACAAAAAAAAAAACTTACTTCTTGCTGCATCTCGTTAATCACATCAGCCATGATTACTGCCAACCAAAAAAAAAAACATTCGAAAGCCAAATCAAATATATGATAATCAGAACATGTTTGGGTATGAACATCAGCAACAAATTAAGGCGGCAAACCGAAAACATTTAAAGTAAATATTGGAATTTTGAATTAAGAGTCGATCAAGGCTAAAATATTAGAGTTTATAAAAAAAATACAGGAGGGATTATATTCCGTCTAGGCTTAGGTGAAACTTTAACAATGCATTAGAACGGAGACGTTGTCTATCTCATTATTTCAGACCTCATCGATTCGAATTATAAAAAGGACTTACCGGAGAATGGATGCAATGCACGACGCAGATCAATCGAAAGAACAATAAAGACGGTGAAAGCTTTTTGTTTTTTGTTTTTGTTTTTGTTGAACTGCGTTCACCAGCCCTAACTTTTTATATAAGTTTGTTACAAATTACAATTAATTCCTTTTTCTTATAGGAGTATATGTTAAAATTAAGGGATATCTAAAGCGTATTTAATTATTTATATCACACGTGAGTCCTAAATAAAAAAGGAAAGAAACGTGAGTTAAAAAAAGAAGAACAGAACCGACCCAAAACCGTAATAATTGACAGAAGATGAAACATAGGCGAAGAAGAGAGCTCACGGGGTTTAGATTCTCTCTATTGCGCTTTTTTTTTTTTTTTTTGCTGAGATTGAGGAGGTTCTATGTGTAAATTGAGATGGTTCCTCCAGTAATTTATAAGTATCGGCGAAGGAGATATCGGAGACTTGGAAGGGACGATGATGGTTCGTTGATGAGGACTCCTCGGGTCTCACTTTACCATTCAAACGACAGATTCAACTCCAATACCATCGAAGTAAGTGATAATAGTCGCTCTTCTGGTTCATTTAGCGAGGATGGTGCTAGAATTCGAAATTTGGGTTGCGTTCACAGTGAGACTGAAACTAGACATGGTTCCTGTAGTTTGGTTCTTCAATGTAGAAACTTGGATGATTTGTTCGCTGGGTTCGCTTATAAAGGTGTGAGGAAGACAAGGAATGTATTTGGAAGTAAACCAAAGAGTACTCTTGATGATGATGACACCGTAAAGGAACAAGATTTTGATGATGACAGTGTTTTTGAATCTCACAGTGAAAGACAAGTTTGCAGTGAATTTCAGACTCAAGTAAGAAAAGTTTCTCCATACTTCCAAGGATCAACTGTTTCACAACAGCCCAAAGATGGGTGTGATTCTGATTGTGTTTCTTCTCAAAATGGAAGAAACTATAGGAAAGAATGTAGAAAAGTTCAAGCTAAAGTCCGAAGAGTTTCTCCATACTTCCAGGCATCAACCTTTTCACAATGTGACTCTGAAAGTGTTGCTTCTCAAAGTGGAAGAAAATATAGGAAAGAAAGCAGCAAACTTCAAGCTAAGGTCCCAAGAGTTTCACCATACTTCCAGGGATCAACTGTTTCAGAACAGCCAAACCCGTCAAGAGATTTGCGTCAGTATTTTAAGGTCGTGAAAGTTTCAAGATATTTCCATGACATGCCTGCGGATGGAACCCAAGTTAATGAACCACAAAAGGAGAGATCAAGAAGGATGAGGAAAACTCCTGTTGTGAGCCCTTCGCTCTCTCAATGTCAGAAGACCGATGAGGCATACCTGAGGAAAATGCCGGATAACACATGGGTGCCTCCACGATCTCCTTGTAACCTGCTTCAAGAAGATCATTGGCATGATCCATGGCGAGTACTGGTCATTTGTATGCTTCTCAACAAAACATCTGGTGCACAGGTTTGTCCTCATTCTTCTCCTTTTTTTTTCCATATCTTTGCTGACCTTATATAAATATAGTTTTGTTCAAGAGCATTTGAGACCAAATTAGTTCTTGAGAGAAGTCCAAACTTTGCTAGGAAGTAAGAAATCAGCTCATGTTGGATTTACTTGCTTCCTCATTTTAAAAAAACGTGATTGCAGACGCGGGGAGTGATATCAGACTTGTTTGTGCTGTGTCCTGATGCAAAGTCTGCAACAGAAGTTGAAGAAAAGGAGATTGAGTCTCTGATAAAACCTCTTGGATTACAGAAGAAGAGAGCCAAAATGATACAACGGTTTTCTCTGGAGTATCTTCAAGAGAGCTGGACTCATGTCACTCAACTGTATGGCGTTGGAAAGTAAGTCTTTGAATATCAAAAATCTGAATATCATTTTTTTCTGTTGACAGTTTTGTTGACGATGCTTATAGGAGAATTATTCACAGGTATGCAGCGGATGCGTATGCGATATTCTGTAATGGAAAGTGGGATTGTGTGAGACCTGCTGATCATATGCTAAATTATTACTGGGAATTCCTCAGGATTCGGTACAGGTTATGAGTGGGAAGATACAAGTATCTATTGTGCATATATTTCTTTGCTCTGTTTTTTTTTTTGTTGTTGTTGTAAATGAAAGAGATCTTGTATAGTTGTATTATGGTTTGTTTAATCTTAAATTATAATGTGTTTTGGTATCATCTATGGGTTTTTGTGTTTAATATTGTCAAACACCTAAGCTGGGGCATGAAAATTGAAGGTCAAAACTTAAAAAGCTATTCGACTTCCTCAAATAAAATAAAGTAAAATAACAGAATAGAATCAAGTTTGTTGTTGTTGAGACTTAAAGAGTTAGATTGGACACCAATTCGCGATATAATAATCAGAAGTTGTGGCAATTAGAGGCAACTACTACTATGAGCCAAATCAAAGGACATGTCTCATTAAAGAATTTAAGAAAGTTGAATATTTTTAATATTTGTATAAAAAAATCGAAAACACCAATAACAAACAACTTCTTCTCTTTTTTTTTGTCGTATATTTTACCAGAAAACGTAGCAAAAAAACTTTTTGCAGAGTGTGTATGCTAAACCGTAGTTTAGGCGTAGATTCAACACGATATATATATGAACGATCAAAATTGATGTGTTAAAAAGAAAATCCTTTTTCTTGATGAACAAAAATAATAAGGTGAATTTTGTGTTGATGAGTTTATTAGCACATGCAATCACAGACGTTAATTTGTTGTGTGTAGTATAGTTTTTATCATTGAACTTGTGCGCTTCTAAATAAAGAGATTTGTAAGGTTGTTTTTGCTAAAACTGATTGATTTTGCTAAAACTAAAACTAATTAGAAATCAAGAAGGAAGTAGTAATAAAATGTTGTAATAATTGTTTTGTGACGTGTCAATTACAACATTTGACAAAAGATTGAAAAATCCTCTTGGTGTTGTTTCTCCTCTCATCTCATCTCTGGCCGACAAATAAAACAAAAACACACCTAATCATAGCTTCTCCATCTCCTTTGTCTGCAGGATGATGCATTTTCTCAGACAATTTTCCTCCAAAATCCTTTCGTAATTTTCTTCGTTTAGGTTTTACCCTCCTCGGTTGGTTATACCAAAAATAAAAAAATTCAACTGATCTCTAGAGTTTTTAGGTTCTTGCAAGAAATTGAATTTTGAAGAGGCTTTGTTGGGTTTGGATTTCCATATCCGCTCCTTGTTTACGGTATTCTCGATGAATCATTGAAGGTTCTCATTGGTGCAATCGAGTTGATTCTTTTCTGTTTTTTGTTTTTCTTTCTAAATTCAGATTCTCGTTGTTTAAAAATGCAATGGCTCTTCAGGAGATGTCGTGATTTTGGGAAAAAACTTTCGGACAATCCTGTTTGAATGTCCCATCTTTTTTCTCAACATTCGCGTCTTCTCATTGCCTCGGCTCTAGTTTTCGAAATGTCTCTTGGCCAAGAAAATGTCGATCCTGTCGAAGTTTCTGGTAATCCAACACAATCCTTTTTAATTTCTCCCAAAATTTCCATTTACTATGAAAAAGGGTTGCAAAAATTGCTGGCTTTTGTTCTTAGGGTCGCATGCTTGCTTATATGACCTTTTACGTTCAGAGACACCAAAAGGGACTCCTCAAAAAGATTTGCAGACATCTTCTTCTGGTAATCTAAACTTTTTCTAGTTATTGATGGAGATTATTTTCTACAACATTCTTACAGATTATGCTAGTGTTAGTTGGAAACAATGTCATGTCCTGCTTCTGACATTATTTTCAGATCCCCGAGATCGGTTGGAGAAGCTGCTGAAGCAACCTGGTAATAAGTATTGTGCTGACTGTGGATCTCCCGAACCGAAATGGGTGTAAGTTGATTGATATACATGGTGTTTTGCTTTATTCATTTCTGTTGATGGATTGATTGTTTAGATTTGTTGTTGTATAGATCCTTAAGTCTCGGTGTATTTATCTGCATAAAGTGTTCTGGTGTACACAGAAGTCTTGGAGTCCATATATCAAAGGTAGTTTTCTTTCTCATTCACAATCTGACTTCTCTCTGTTTAGAGCCTTTGGATCGATTCTTGATTGGCTGTTAATCACAGGTTCTATCAGTAAAGCTAGACGAATGGACAGATGATCAAGTTGACACGCTCGTAGGGTACGGTGGAAATACTGCAGTAAACCAGAGATTTGAAGCCTGCAACATCGACCAGTCAAAGAAACCCAAACCAGATTCCACTAATGAGGAACGCAATGATTTCATCAGGTGACTTTCTGACTTAACAAGTTGCTATAGCGTCAAGTATGTATAATCATCTCATTTTTTAAAACTTCAGGAAAAAATATGAGCAGCACCAGTTTATGGATCCAAAAGATGGTGCTTTGTGCCCTTATCAGCAGCAGGCTAGCAGAGTAAATAATTCACCACCGTCTTTATGTTCTGCTAGCCACCGTTCTACAAAAAACCGTATTGGTCATGCATTTAGGAATAGCTGGGGAAGAAGAGAATCTGATCACAAAGGACCAAAGAAGAGCAACTCCCTGGTAACAACCAATGTACATACATACATACACACATGTTGGGATAATAAATGTGGCTAATGTTTAATTATTTGTGGGTGTTTTATAGGCAGGTATGGTTGAGTTTGTGGGATTAATTAAGGTTAATGTGGTTAAAGGAACCAATCTTGCGGTTCGAGACGTGATGACCAGCGATCCTTATGTTATCCTTTCTCTTGGCCAACAAGTGAGCTTTCTACAAAATCTATCTAGACTTGTATGACTTAAAACTTTAATCTCATGTAAACTAAATCGAGTTTTTTTCTATGTTTATGTTATTGAAGTCGGTAAAAACACGGGTAATAAAGAACAACTTGAATCCAGTTTGGAACGAGACGCTGATGCTTTCAATACCTGAGCAGATGCCTCCTCTCAAAGTGGTAAGTGCAGATGTTATTTTCTCATGTCTCTTGAAAACAGAGTAAAAAAAAAGAGAGCTTTATACTTAGTAACTTAAGAGTTAAAACTAAGCTAATAACTTGGGTGTAAACTACTACACCAAGCTATAACAAACTCTCAACATGTAAATTTTCAGCTAGTGTACGACAAGGATACATTCTCGACAGATGATTTCATGGGAGAGGCAGAGATAGACATACAACCGTTGGTGGGGGCAGCAAAAGCTTACGAGACATCGAGCATACAAGAACCGATGCAGCTGGGGAGTTGGGTCGCGAGCAAAGAGAACACATTGGTGAGTGATGGCATAATCTCACTTGAAGAAGGGAAAGTGAAACAAGACATTTCACTTAGGCTTCAAAAAGTCGAGAGAGGTGTTCTTGAGATCCAGCTTGAATGTCTTCCTCTCACTCAATGATAAATACTTTCCTTTCTCCCCTTCTTTTCTTTTCTTTATGTTGTTTTTTATTAATAGTGAAGAGATGCTACTTTCTTCTTGATCCACCTCATAACCTATGTAAAAAAAACCCCCATGATTTCATTGATGATTCTTCAGAAACAACCCTTATCCAAACCTCTCGCATAATTATACTTAAATTTTTATTTTTGGGAACGTCCAAATTCCAATTTCCAAACATACGTAGAACACTATGCAACGTTTATATATTGTTATTTTTCACAATAATATGTTAAACAATATCAATTATATATGTATCATATACTTTGTTACAACTGAAAAAAAGGCATCAAAATAACACACTACGTTCATCACCGTAACAGGGGTAAACACAAATGATTATAGCTCGTTAATGACCGCAATTAAATTACACCTTATTTTTCTCATGCTATTTTTCTCTATTAAAAAGACTTTTCTTGTTTCTCTGATGAAATCTCGTGTTATTGGCACTACTTTATGCACAAATTGTTGATCCACAAACCATAATCGTTTTGGCAACTTCATGAAGCAAACATATAAAACCTAGAATACATAGATCTACTATGAAAAATGGTTAAAAAAAATAAGTAGCAAAATTAGCATGAAATAACTGGGATAATTACTCTTTAATGTTGAAAATAATTGAGTGCGTGTTTTTTCTTTTTTTTTGGGTTGTAAACTTGTAATGGGTCCTTGGACTCAACAGTCGAGTAACACGTTTAGTATAAGGGATTATTATACAGGGATCAGTTTTGATTTCCAATTGTGGGAGAAAAGAGAAAATAATCTCCGGTTTCAGCTGCGTCGACGAGATCTGTCGTCAGGATCTCAGATTTGTTACACTCTCGCTCATAATCCGGCGACATGAGTTCTCCGGTACGGAATATATATTATAGCAGATCTACGAGATTTGGTCTGACATGCTTTTGATATTTCGCGTCGTTTACTTTCTTCATCGAATCGTCGTCTCTGATCTATGAATCTACTTTTGACATTGATTCAGGGAACGAGTATGTTCACCAATTTCACCAAGCTCTGCAAAGGACTTGCTCTGGTGCTTGTCGTGGGTCACGTCGTAGTTCAGTTCATTCCCGCTACCGTCACATACCTTGCGCTGATTCCTGCGAGGTACTTCGTCTTCTCTACTTCTTAATCCGCTTGATTTCGCGTGCTCTAAACTAATTGCTAGTTCACGGGTTGGAGTAAATTAGGCTTCCTGTATGCTAAATCAGTACGAAATTATATTACCTGGGATGCGAATTTGATGCTCGCATGGAAAATTACCTGATTGTTCTTCGAATTCCGTCGAAACTAATGTGATGCTCCGTGCTCAGTGTATTCAGAATGACTCCCTCGATAACAGATATCAATTCTCTAATTTGGGCTTGACCTGTTAACACGGTGGTACAATTTTTGTGATTTCTCTTCCTTATAGGACCATTCCTTTTGCCTGGAATCTGATAACAAGCGGCTACTTTGAACTGTCAGTACATGGGGTATGTTCAAGTTGTTCCTATCCAATCCACATTTCTGATACCTAGTTCTTAGATACACGAGTGACTGTTTGCGATGTTGCAGGTTGTCTTCAGCACAGTTTCTCTCCTCTTTATGGGAAAGTTCCTGGAACCTGTCTGGGGTTCCAAGGAGTTCCTTAAGTTCATCTTTGTGGTGAACTTTCTTACCTATCTCTGTGTTTTTGTTACAGCCATTGCTTTATACTACATAACGAGGCTGGAAATCTACCTGTAAGTACTCTTACCACCCTTTAACAGATTAAGTTCCTGCTTGTTTATTTTTTCATCTCACTTAAATATGAAGGGATGTCAAGCTGTAATTATAACTTTGCTTCCCCTGCTCGGTTTTGGTCAATCTTTACCACCGTATATGATAATCCCTCTCTGTAATATTTTATTTCATTAAGCTTCAGAAGAATTGTACATCCTCCTGGAAGCTTAACCTTTTCTCTGTTTTCTCCTGGCTAGATATATGCCCTTTGCAGGTTTTCATGGTGTTTTGGCAGGCCTTCTTGTCGGGATAAAGCAGATAATACCTGACCAGGAGGTCCTGCTGTTAAAGATAAAAGCAAAGGTAATCTTTTACTTTCTTGTAAGAAATGGTAAAGGCTTTGACATTCTCTTACTTTAACTTTGGCTATTCGAAGAAGTTCTCACATCCTATTTCTTGCCTCTGGTTTCTGTGTGCAGTGGTTGCCCTCTATTATGCTAGTTTTGTCCATAGCCTCAAGCTTCTTCACAGTAAATTCAGCAGCATATCTTCCCACTTTGATATTTGGTACATATATGGGCTGGTTATACCTCAGATACTTCCAGAGGAGGCCAGAAACAAAGCTCAGAGGTGATCCGAGTGATGACTTTGCCTTCTCTACTATCTTTCCTGAATTCCTCAGGTGAAAGAATATGTCTCCATCTCTTAACTAAATTTTCAAGTTTGCCCAAAAATTAATTCTTTCATATTCTCTTTAAATGCAGACCGATAATAGATCCTATAGCCTCAATCTTTCATCGGATGCTTTGTGGACGATCAAATGCCACCAGCGAAGCCCATGGTTATTCTACCAGCGGTTATTCTACCAGCGGTGCTCCATTACCGGGTTCTGACTCTGCTGAAGCTTCCAGGAGGAGGTACAATTCTTTTCTTTTACTCTCTTTACTGCTCCACTTCAATGGTGGCTTGGATGCAATCCCCAGCTATTTGGGTCCTAGGGCAGCAGATCATCTCTTTGAACATTAGTAAAGACCTTTTTGAGCTAGACATTGTTGAAACAGAATCTAGGAAATGGTTGATGCAAACCGAGGTGAGGTAATGAATGATCCTATTCATTCAATTCTAAGAAGAAATAGTACTGGCTTGTCATGACTAATGCTAATATGCAAAGACTTAGCCTAGCTTGTATCAAACCAAGTTCTGAGAAAACTATTTTCTGATTCTCAAGAAGAAAATCGACCTGTCCAAAAACTTGTTGTTGCAGAGAAAGAGGAGCAAGGGCTCTAGAGGAGAGACTTGCAACGGAAAGGTTGGTTCCTCCAAGGAACAAAGATGAGTTGCAGAGTGATGCTTTGGATAGCGTTTAAGTGGAGATTGCAACTAACTTTTTGAAGATGCTGTGTGGGTTCTTACTTGTTTTTTATTTTTTTTATTCTATGTTATGAAATATTGACTTCATACAGAATCAATCAGCTTCTCCGTAAATTCGATGACAGCTCGGAAAAGTAGCGAATTTTTCATTGGACAAACCAGTTAGAAACAATTTCCTTGGACGAGAGAATATAAATTTATACGGTTTCACTTCTCCAAACTTGTTATTTTTGTGTCAAAGAGTCACGATCGACCACTCTAGTCTAAAACACACAAAATGTTTGTTTTCTGTCAATTTGATTAACATTAATTTTTTTTCACTTTCCAGAAAAGTCGATAAGTCTCTGTAAACACTTACGATTGTATGCTTGTAAATGAATGACTTTAACATAATTATCTGACAACAATATATCGAACAAAACTTATTAAAGTGAGATGACCGAGATTATCATAGCAGAGGACAAAAATTTGAATAAAAAAGACCTACAATATTTAAGAAAAGAAAAGAGAAAAGGAGATAAAACGAAAAAAGGGAAAAAGATAAAACAAAAAAGAAAAACAGAAAAGAAAAAAAGAAAAAGGGAATGACGTCAGCATTGACAAGGTAACCACGTCGCATATTGAGAGTCCCTCCAGATGTCTGGTTTGGTAGGCGCTTTAGGAATCAAACGCGGAGCTCCAATAACAATGGCCATTACCAAACTCTTCATTTTCTTCTCTATCAAAGAATTCTCAATCAATTCAACAACACACACACACAAACAGACATTCCTCCATTTTTTTCCTTTTTTCGTTTTCGATAACTTCGTCTCTTTCCTTCTTTCTGTTGCTCTTCGTTTCTTACACCAATCAAAAAACATCTCATTTCTCTCTCCCTCTCTATGTTCTCGTCGTCCTCAGCATTTTCCTCCATTGAAATCCGATAAATTCTGAACAAGACCCAGATCCTCCCATCTCCGAGACTCCTGCAAATGCGGCTTGGCGATCTAGGTATGGAGGAACGAATGAGAAAAACCAAGACTCGAAGAAGAAATATGTGAAAAAAGACAACAACAACAACAACAACAAAAAGAGTGAAATTTTCGAACAAGGAAATCAAACGAATAGAGAGAAATGTCGGTAGCACACGCAGACGACGCCGACGATTACAGCCGACCAACGGGAGAGAGTTACCACGCGGAGAAAGCATTGCCGAGTGGAGATTTCTACACAGGACAATGGCGAGACAACCTCCCACACGGACATGGCAAATACCTCTGGACCGATGGTTGTATGTATGTCGGAGATTGGCACAGAGGCAAAACCATGGGCAAAGGTCGTTTCAGTTGGCCCAGTGGTGCCACCTACGAAGGCGATTTCAAAAACGGTTACATGGACGGCAAAGGTACACACTTTACACAAAAATTTCCCATTTTTCTCATTCATTTTTCTTCTTCTCCTCTCTGAATCGAATCCTTGTTTTTGGTGGTGACAACAGGTACTTACATCGATTCCTCTGGAGACTTGTATAGAGGATCATGGGTTATGAATCTAAGACACGGGCAAGGCACGAAAAGCTACGTCAACGGAGATTGCTACGACGGAGAATGGAGGAGAGGTTTACAAGAAGGACACGGGAGGTACCAATGGAAGAACGAGAATCATTACATCGGTCAATGGAAGAACGGGACGATGAACGGTAACGGGACCATGATCTGGAGCAACGGAAACCGTTACGACGGATCTTGGGAAGACGGAGCTCCTAAAGGCAACGGAACTTTCCGATGGTCGGATGGGAGTTTCTACGTCGGAGTTTGGAGCAAAGATCCTAAAGAACAGAACGGGACTTATTACCCTTCGACGTCTTCAGGGAATTTCGATTGGCAACCACAACAAGTGTTCTATGTTGATTTGAGTGAATGCGTGGTTGCTACTTGTCAGAGAATCCCGGTTTTGCCTTCTCAGAAGATGCCGGTTTGGTACGGTTCTTCCGAGCAGAGTAGTAGTGGGAACAGGACCAAGAACAGCGGCAATGAGAGGCCGAGGAGGAGATCTGTTGACGGAAGAGTTAGTAATGGTGAAATGGAATTGAGAACTAATGGTTCTGGTTATCTTCAGTTAGATGATAATATTGCAGAGAGTAACAGATCATCATTAGGGCCTTTGAGAATACAGCCTGCTAAGAAACAAGGACAGACTATCTCTAAAGGACATAAGAATTATGAGCTCATGCTTAACTTGCAGCTCGGCATTAGGTACCGAGTTCTTTTCTTTTCGATTTAAAATTGCTTGTGTTTGCTTTCTTTGATGTTGATCAGTGTTTGTTGTTTGTTGTTGTAAGACATTCTGTTGGAAGACCAGCACCGGCTACATCTCTTGATTTGAAGGCTTCGGCTTTTGATCCAAAGGAAAAACTTTGGACGAAATTTCCATCTGAAGGATCTAAATACACTCCTCCACACCAGTCTTGTGAGTTTAAATGGAAGGATTATTGTCCTGTGGTTTTCAGGTTAGAATCTGTTTTCTTCTTTTTTTTGGTTGCTTCTTCGGTTTCTTTATCTTCTGTGTGTGTTATTTGGTATTGAGAAAACGGATGAAAATGTTGTATAGGACTCTGCGGAAACTGTTCAATGTGGATGCAGCAGATTATATGTTATCCATCTGTGGAAACGATGCTCTTAGGGAGCTATCATCTCCAGGGAAAAGTGGAAGCTTTTTCTACTTGACCAACGATGACCGTTACATGATCAAGACGATGAAGAAGGCAGAAACAAAAGTAAGCATCATAACAATTATTATTAAGAGCTGTATAAAACCCCTTATTCAAGTGTATCAAGATTTTCACTCACTTGTTTTTTTTTCCCCTTGAAACAGGTTCTTATAAGGATGCTTCCAGCTTACTACAATCATGTAAGGGCATGTGAACACACTCTTGTTACCAAATTTTTCGGTCTTCACTGCGTGAAATTGACTGGCACTGCACAGAAAAAGGTCAACAACCATTTTAGTGCCTCTGTATTATTGTTACCATTTTCAAATTTGGATGTGCTGATGGAAGAATACTTGCACCTGCAGGTTCGGTTTGTGATCATGGGGAATCTATTCTGTACTGGTTACTCCATCCATAGGCGGTTTGACCTGAAAGGATCCTCTCATGGCCGTCTTACCACTAAACCAGAGTCTGAAATCGATCCAAACACAACGCTTAAAGATCTTGATCTTAACTTCGTATTCCGATTGCAGAAGAACTGGTTCCAAGAATTCTGCAGGTGATTGATAATAAATAACTCTTGTTATGTATCTCTCGTTTCACTTCTTTAACTAGTAAAGCCAAATTCGAGTGTAGGCAAGTGGACAGAGACTGTGAATTCCTTGAACAAGAGAGAATCATGGATTATAGTCTCTTAGTTGGTCTTCACTTTCGAGAAGCTACATTCAAGGATTCTGCTACTCCTCCTTCCGGTGCTCGAACCCCAACAGGTAAAATCTTTGTCAAACTTAATATTCTCACTTTCCATCTTAAAGATTTAGTTTAAGGCAATTTCTTCAATCATATTTGTGCAGGAAATTCTGATAGTGGAAACACTCGTCTCTCCCGAGCAGAAATGGACCGGTTTCTTCTTGATGCCAGCAAGTAAAGAACCAAAACCCCACCAATGGTTATTACCGGAATGTTAAGTATAAATGGGTATTATATAATACAATTGTGGTTCTTAAATGATTTTTGCAGGTTAGCATCCATGAAACTGGGTATAAACATGCCTGCAAGAGTTGAAAGAACAGTGAGAAGAAGTGACTGTGAGAATCAGCTTGTTGGGGAACCAACTGGTGAATTTTACGATGTGATTCTCTTCTTTGGTGTCATAGACATTCTACAAGACTATGATATAAGCAAGAAGCTTGAACATGCATACAAATCAATGCAGTATGATCCAACCTCGATCTCAGCCGTTGATCCAAAGCAATACTCTCGACGTTTTAGGGATTTCATCTTCAGGATCTTCGTTGAAGACACTTGAGACCAAATCCATCTAACTTGCCACGCCCAAGGCCCAACAAAAGTTGAGGTTTTTTGTTAGAGTTTTCGTTCCACATATAGAAGTATTTGTAAATTTTACTATTTAACTAAAATCTTTTCAAGTAGAGAAAAAATTATTCTTTTGTAACTAAAGTTCAATACTCTGCCTTTTTTCCTTTTTGATACTCTTTGTACTGCGTTTCTCTAAACGTGAAAGAAAGGATGTGTACAGATGTTGACTTGTATTTCTTATTAACAACATATTCTTTATATTTTAATAACCATATGTAGAACACTACAGTACATGTTTCTATTTTTTTCCATTTATTTAATTAGACGTGGTTATTTCCGTTTTTCAAACTGATTTTTTATACGTGAACAAGTTGACTATGCGAGGTTTCTGGTGATACGCATACTCGACAGGCCTCAAAGTCAACGCTAATGGTTTTCGAATCAATAAATCAATTGTTTTACATAGGATTTGATTCTTGGTTTAAATTGGACTTCGCTGTTCACAAAAAAAAAGGTTTAAATTGGACTTCTATAGTTTTATTTCTTCCTTTTTCTGGGATTTCCAAACTTCGCTCTTCTTTTTTTTTGGATGGGCTTCTTGATTCTGTGATGATATATACAAGAAATAGAACAACGCAATAGATGCATACTTTACATAAAAAAAAAAAACAGGAAATAAATTCAATGTATTAGGTCAATCTTTGCCATAACACGTATGGAACCGACACATCATTAAAAAGATCTGTTTTATTTGTTAATTTCCAGATAAATATGGCTTGTAACCTTTTTTTTTAAGAGTTTTTGTTATTTATAAATGTTTTCAAGGCGCTTGAGCAAACATTTCAAAATCCGGAGGCATATCATCTAGTCTACAACATATGATCATATACTTTATGAGAATATATAGCGAAATACCCTAGAATATATAGATCAGTGTCGTTATTTCTCCTTTTGATTAGTATTATATATCACCTAACGCAAACAAAGAGTAGAGTAAAAAGTAATGTCACACACGCAAAATATCATTCCAGTGCAACAATTTAAACCTTCTCTAACTTAACCTTTGACATATTTTACCAATTATCCCTCTTCCCTCTTTTTTTTTTTTTTCTGTTAGCTCTGCCTACTTTGACTGTATGTTGATTCTTACTACGTACCAAAACAACATGTTACCTTTATCTTTATTAGAATGCCTATCATATTTCTTGGGTTTAACATAAATCATATACAATCTAGGTCATCAAAAAAGGCACATGTTACAATTAACTCCGATGATTTCTCAATCTAATTAATCTTCCTTTTTTTTTTGCTATTTCTTCTAATTTTTGTTTGCAATATAACTACTGTACGTAGTTGGAATTCTTTCCGTTTCTAAGCTATCCTCGAGGACATTACTTTTCCACTGTAGATTATACCGAAAAACAGATGTAAACGAAGATTTGATTTCTTACTGAACCACACAAGTACTTTGACTACAATATAATACAACAATATTGAAGTGAAAAAGATCCAAGTATAAATGGGTTAAATTCTAATTGGCTACGAATTTTGGGCTTCAAATTATCCGAGACGACGAAAATAAATAAGTATGAAAAGGTTAAAGCTTGGATTGAAGAAATAACTAACAAAGTTGAAGTTAAAGCTTTAACTAACGAAGTCGGAGTGAAATCTTTAACCAACAAAACTGCTTTTACTTGGAGTCTTAGACTTATATTTCAGTTATTTGCAGATAACCTAATTCAAAGGCAAAGTCAATACTTACTTCTTTGTTTAGGCCGAGATTAGCTCTTCCATTTTCGGTTTTTATTTTTATTTTTATTTTTCTTTTTAAAATAAAGCCCTTTAATTTTTTTTTCTTACCCATGAATTTTGGGAGATGACCAGATTTTTCAAATTGTTAGCCAGTCTTTTCCCATTACGTAAGAAATTTATGAGTTTTTACATAAAAAATTGCAGACGATAAAGAAAATGTATAATAGGTTGTAATTTTGTTTAGTTTTTTTTTTTTAATCTCAGTTTATCTCAAACTACCACATTAACAGCTTACTTCCACCAATTCTAAAATCATATACAATATTATAACTTTTTTAACTGCAGTTTACACATGCATATTATATTTTGCAGATTTGAACCACTACAATGACAAAGCAACTTCACTACTACAAACCAGTAAATTAAAAATTCGGTCAATATATTAATCTTTATGAATCATAGCTACATATTAACAAACAGTTAAAATAATTAAATAAAACTAAATATAAATTGAAAGCTACAACATGATTAGTTTAATTAAACCCCAAACAAAAACCTACGAGCTAGCTGATCTTGTCATCAAATAGAGATCTGGAAATTCCAATAAGTTAAAACAAACCAAGATTTCAAAGTCTTGCCTTTAGACTTTAATTCAACAGCCAAACGGATCTAATCAACAAAATGGAGAACTCAATCCTAAAGACGTGCTATGAGGACGTAACTGAGGATACAACATGACGTCGTCAGAAATTTTTCAAGAAAACAATATCCATTTAATAACATGTTTTAAAGAAAAAAAATATTTATAAGAAATTAAACCATGTTTTAGAAAGATAAAACTTGAGCTTGATTAATAATTTTATCGTAAAAATGCAAAATTATCATTTTCTTTGCATAACTTTTATTTACGTTATAGTTTGTAATGTTTATGGATCGTTTATTTTATGTTTATTCAATTATTCTCTAACCGATGATAAAGCTGGGATGTTGGGATGGTTTTGGCTTATCTAAGCGGACAGTTTTTAGAGCATTAAATCAAATGTCTTTAAAGTATTTTCACACAAAAAACAGTTCTTTGAAGTGGCCTAATTTATAGTAATCAACTAAAATACATTTCATTGTGCAAATTGTTTGGAAACGATATGATCGTAGACTCGTAGTGAAAGTGAGGAATTATAACAAACATTTTCTTCTGAATTTATACGAGAAAAAAAAAAGAGATGGGCAACTCTGTGTCTCCCTCTCTCATCTCTATAAATATAAGCACTTTTGCATTCTCCATGACACATCACTCATTTCTTTCCTCGTCATTCTTTCTATGTCAAACCCAACATTAATCTAACTTCGTGAGAATCCACCCCAAAACAAAAAAAAAATGAATCAAGAGATCCTAATCTTATTAACAATTCTCTTAACGTCTCTTCGTTCCTGTTTCAGCAGCTACCCGTTTGATCATAGATATGATCCTTTCCTGTCTTCCGATATTTATCATGAAACCAATCATCTACATGGTGACATCACACGCACCCGCCACATGAAAAATCGCCATGGATATGCTCCTAGATCTTCTCCTCGAGCTTTTAACGTCAACACTTTCGGTGCTAAAGCCAACGGAAACGACGATTCTCAGGTATCCATATTAATTATCTCAATAGCAATATACTCATTTTTCTTTACAATAATTAATCAATGTAAATTAATGAAATATATATTGCTTGAGTCGTAGGCATTCATGAAAGCTTGGGAAGCAGCTTGTTCGTCAACCGGAACAGTTTACGTCGTGGTTCCAAAAAATAGAGCTTACATTCTTAAACCGGTTAAATTCTCCGGTCCATGTAAATCATCCCTGATTGTTTTCAAGGTATCATATATATACCAACGCATGCAAGTAGGGCTTAATTAATGTAGTGTTACAAATTATCTTATTTATTTATAATGAATGTGAATGTGAATTAGATTTACGGAAAGATAGAAGCATGGAGTGATCCATCAGACTACAAGGAACGTAGGCACTGGATTGTGTTCGAAACTGTCAATAACCTTCGTGTTGAAGGCGGTGGTCGCATCGACGGTAATGGAAATATTTGGTGGCCAAAATCTTGCAAAATCAACCCTCAACTTGTAAGTTATTCTTAATTTGGATATCATTGTCTTGAAAGAGACGTAAATTATAGAAACTGATTTTTAATTTAAATATTAAATACCATTTATTTTTGTTAAACAGCCATGCCTGGGAGCTCCAACGGTGAGAAACTCAAACGCCTTTACCTTGTTTTCGATTTTGATTTCAGTTCTGATTGGTACTTATATATATAAATAAAGATATATACTTATATGGGGCTTTAATTTTATAAAATGTCATGAATAAAATGGGGCAGGCGGTAACGTTTGTGGAGTGCAAGAACTTGATGGTAAGTAACATTAGGTTGGAAAACGCACAGCAAATGCATATGACGTTTCAAGATTGTGAAAACGTAAAGGCTTTGCGTCTTATGGTCACATCTCCGGGTGATAGTCCTAACACCGATGGCCTTCACGTTACCGGAACTCGCAATATCCTCATTCAAGACTCTATCATTCGTACTGGTAATTATCATTATTCAACTATTTAATTTTTATATTTTATATTGAAATGTTTTTGAACGTTTTCATTTTTATTATTAGTTTAATTTGCTTGAATTTGTTTTGACAAAACGGTACTTAATTAACGAGGACATTGAAAGATTAACCTTTTTTCATATCAAACTGTTTTAACACTCGAATTCCTTTTATTTATTTTTTAATATTTATTTCAAAAGAGAAAAGTATTTCAGTAATTCCCTATAGTGAAGGAAAACAAGTGAGCTATAATATTATCTGTTTATTTTCTTGTGGATAAGAAATAGTAATTTGTTGGGTTTGTTTTTGGTGATGAAGGCGATGATTGTATATCGATAGTGAGTGGGTCAGAGAATGTGAGAGCGACGGGCATTACATGCGGTCCGGGTCATGGAATCAGGTCTAACCATCTCTCTCCTTATTTTCACCTAAAGTTTTTGTTTTCATCTTATTTTAAGAAAATATACTACAACTGTGCAACAATATTATACTTGTCAAGTAACTGTTTTTCTTTGTTGGAAAGCTATCAACTAATTGTTATCAACTTGAAAATCAACTATTTTTTTTTTGTTTCAAAAAAAGAGATGCTAAAAATCAATGGATGCTGATTATACGAGTAAAGATTAATGCAATCTTTTAAAAATGGTGCTAGGCGCTCTAAACGCAAGCATATTACTCGTATCTAGATATCAATCTTTTCATGTCAGTCATATATGTAATCTGTTTTTAATTTAAATCAATATAAAAATTAAACCCTAACCGATAAATTTATAATTGGGTGCCTATCAAATCAATATACCTCAAAATCGAAGATGTTTTACCACTGATCATGAACGTATAGACATCCAGAATTATAAGAACATAAGGTAGAAACGATGTGTTGACTACGTAATATCTCAATATTGTCTGATTTTTGTTTTTGATTTTTTGTTATGTGACAAATAGCATTGGGAGTTTGGGAGAAGACAACTCAGAAGCATATGTTTCAAATGTGGTTGTCAACAAAGCTACTCTTATAGGAACCACTAATGGTGTGAGAATCAAGACTTGGCAGGTAAACCCCCAACATTCTATTGATTTATCATTATTATATTTTTTTTTCTATTTATAAAGCTAATTTTTGATGTAAAAATATAGAAAAAAATAATATTGTTACCATTATTAATGTATTCAAATGATCAGGGAGGACATGGAATGGCTAAGAACATCATATTCCAAGACATCATAATGAAAAACGTTACAAACCCAATAATCATCAACCAGGACTATTGTGATCGTGTTGAATCATGTCCCGAACAGGTTTGAACCAAATCAACGAATCTTTATAACACAATTAGAGTTATAATAATGATAATTATAAAAGTGAGATGGGTTACGTCGCAGAAATCGGCGGTACAAGTGAGCAATGTGCTGTACAAAAACATACAAGGGACGAGCTCAAGACCCGTAGCTGTGAAATTTGAGTGCAGCAAGAGCATTCCATGTCGAGGCATTTCAATGCAAAACGTTAGATTGGTCGACCAAACTCAACGAGACGTCTCCAAAGCTTCTTGCTCCAATGTGAAGTTGGACACTCGAGGACGTGTTTCTCCTCTTTGCACTTAAATAACTTTTGATCCCCAAGAAGAACATTGACCTCAGTCCTCTTTTCTCTCTATATTTTGTAGTTTGGTCTTGATTTGTGTATATATAGACCAGGTCTGAAGTATTAGCTAGTTGATCATGTTTGAAAAAGTTATGGAGATTTATTGATAAAGTGGAATTGTAAGGCTATAATTAGGGTATTTGATCGATTGATAGATGTATTTCCCTTCCTTTACTTTACTCATATATATATATATATATAAAAAATGTAATAACGATGATGTCTCAGCTATTCATTTACCAAATTAGCTTTTTTCTTTCATTAATTTATACCACATCACATTAGGAAATATTACCACAGACAAAAAATATAGGAATCTATTACAGAAACCAGAAGTGTTGGCATCTCTCGAGGGGCTAAAAAATACAAGAGAGCCACACAACGCAACATTTACAAAACTTGTGTGAATGGAAAAGAAGAAGAAGAATATACACTTTGGGTGAATTCTTCCTGCAAAAAATGGGATTAAATGTACAGTCCAAAGGCAGAGGGTGGTCTTGGACTCGCTCACAAGACGGTGTTGATGTGAAGTGCTTTGAGGAGAGATGTTGCCATTTGCTTCACCAGAACTTGGCCTCCCGAACGTTGTCCATCTCGTCGTTCTTCAATCAGATTCTGCAGTTTCTGAGGTAGATCATTCTCTACGATGAGCTGTTTGGGCCTTGGATGGTGCTCGTAAACAGCCTGTTTAAATGATCAACAAAACCAAACACTCAAAACACACAGAACAAGATAGGCAAGAACTTGGATGGTCGAGTGATCCATTACCTTTATGAGTTTCAGGAGGTTAAGCCGAGCAATCGCATCTTGGTGGTCTAGCCTTGAAATTAGTAAAGGAGTCAATCCATTTACAGCTAAAGTTGTATTGATTCGAGATGATTTCCTGGATTCAACGAGGAGAAGGATTAGCTCCACATTAAGAGGAGATATAGCATTCACGGCTACTTCACTCATAGTTCCAACTTTGTCATGATTTTGTGAGAACCTTTTGGAAAGATAGATAATGTATTATAAAAGAGGAGAGATGCATACGTGATAATCTTCAAGAATGGCTCCAAAATGTGAACAAAATGTCTCTCTGGACAGCTCTGGAAGAAGTTGACTAATTTCTGAATTGCATCTTTCTTGAGCAACGCCTGCTCCACCTTGCGGTTGTCATTGTCTTGCGCCAAGCAAACAGCAATTGAATCTAAGGCTATCACGGACCAATATTCATCATCGAGCAAACTCAGGTAAACATCTAGACCGCCATGTGCCCTTAACTGCTCTCTTGAATTCCGAGATGCATGAGCCATATCACATAGTAGTGGCAATGCATATTGTTTCAGAGGAGAATCCGACATGATGATCAGCATCAAGTGCGGTATGATTCCATTTTCAGCGGCTTGTTCCTGCCTCCTCTTGTTTATCTTGCACAGGTTGAATAGTGCACTAAGTACCTACATAGATTTTCAAATTTTAGAAACGCCAAAGTTTGGGTTAAAATGACTTAAAACGGGTGATATAAAGACTACAACAAAAACCCAAACTCCAATCTTTCAAACAACATACTGGAAAACAAGTTGTAACCAACAGACGGAAGCTATCTCTGTTCAAGTCAAGAAGGTAACCTCATGATGGATCTGATAAACAAGATGCCCATCCTTAAGCTCAAGGTTGGGGATCAAGTGCTTAATTGCATCTGCACGCTGAAGATTCTCCAAGCAATTTGGATCAGTGGATAAATGATTGGTACACTGCAGTATCTGGACAAACAGAAGGTATTGTAAGCATGCGACCTGAATATCCTCTAAACCACACATCCAAGTTTCGCCAGAGAGCAAACAGAAAAATTATAGGAAAGAAAAAAAAACAGAAGAAAGTTCAGAATATTTTGAAGTACCTTTAACAGGATAGGAGGTTCTACACGGTTGAACATCTGGAAAAGACGACTAAGTAAGCTTTGGCTGCACACGTATGACTTTACCATCGTATCAGCTCGAGCAAATTCAAGAAGCAGATCAGCCACTTTCTCCAAGTATTCCCTTGCGACGTCTGCACTCAGCGTAGAGACCATATGAGCAAGTAAACCAGATGATGTGGCACTTCCAGATCGAGCATTTAGAACACCCGAACCTGATAGTACACCAGATGCTGTCTGAGATGCAATCCCAGCCGTAGAAGCGACTCCTTCAATAGCCATAACCTTCTTTGTCATCGTTTTACTGGAATATCTAGGTGTAGTATCAAGATTTCCGTTTTCCTTTCCACGTCCAGAGACCTCTGAAGACACAATGTAATGATAAGGGACAAACTAAAGATTCATATCTGTGCTTACAATAAGAGCAGTCTTGCTAAATATAGACAACTCTAAAAATTACCTGCAAATTCGGCCATCAGAAAACCTAGGTCTCCATTGGGTTTTTTCTCGTTTGATGCATGCAAAAGAGGAAGCCTATTTTCATGTCTCTCTATGCCAGTGATGTGCTTTACGTAATCCAGTTGGCCAGAAAAATGTCTTGAAGGGGGTTCTTTCTCCAACAAGCTAAGCAAAGGTCGGACTTGTTCTGGCTGAGTTACAGGAAAACCATTAGACGCACCCTCCACCACCAGTTTCTGAAGCTTATCTGTCGATGTTCTATTGGCAGAGAGAGATATTCTCTGCTGTTGTTTAACATCTTCTGTGGCATCTGGTGCAACACTGCTTAATCTAGGCCTGTCAGCATCTGTTTGATGGACATCTGATCTTTGAGAATTTGAAGTTGAAGCACGAGAAGGCTCTTCACCATCCACATGCCTAGTTTTCAACACATCAGGATGATCAATCACACTCAGTGAAGTCTCATGCTTACTAAAGATAGGATTGTTAGGATCAAGTTGACCAGAGCGCGCTCGTGGAGTTTGACCATCCACAGTCAATGCGCCCCCTGAAGTAGATGCCAGTCGAGTTGCCTCATTTAAGCTATAAAGAGTGTTGATCAGCCTAAGAAGAATTCCATTCTTTGCAGCTATACGGCAGAAACCATTTCTCGGGGTGGATCTTTTGAGTTTAAATACCTGCCACATCCCATCAATAGCTAAGTGAACCATCTCCCTGAAGAAATAGAGAAGCTCAAAGCAGTAGAGTTTAGTAGAACTTAAAGAGCAGAAAGGACCAGAGTTGATTAAAGAGTGAAGAGCTAAATGAAGAAAATGGTAAACTATTAAGAAACGGATCAGCTGTTTTCAATAAACTGTACCCACCTGTATTTGGCATAATCTGCTTCCAGAAATCCCACCAAAACGGGTATTCCACGGCAAGCTATGAACATTTGCAATGTCAAGGGGCTGTAAAGAAGCTACCAAATCAACTCTATGAATTACAGAATGAAAAAAAAAAAAAAGCCAAAGAATAATTATTTGATGACTTGTAACCTTGACTGACAAAGCTGCTGCAAAAAGTAGGCTGCTTCCTTGCGAATTTCTCGAGAATGATCTCTCTCAGGATCAGCAAAACTCATTACCACAGGAATCTGCCATTTCACTTGAATTAATCAATTTTCATGAGATTTTTTTTTGTCACATCAAAGAAAACAGAGTCGACTATATAATGAGTTACAACACCATGGATTAATTATCTTCAAAGTTTTTCAAATTAATGTTAGCAGTTAAAATGGATGTTTGACATTTAAGATAGAAATAGAGACATGAGCCTTCCATAAAAAAAAAACTGGCCAAATCCACCAAACTACACCAAGTAATTAGTGGTGATTTACCAAGTCAGTAACCAAATGGAAAGTAGACTTACGAGACCAACGAGACAGGCATTTTCCTGGAAGTCGGTGTTATCTTTTATAATTTCGTTTATCAGCTGCAGAACGGCATATATTACCTGAAAAGATTCACAAGCATAAGGCATTTTGTATTCACATCGAAAGGACAACTTACTAACGATGAAGGACAAAAAAAAAAAGTCCTTCACAAATAAACATACTCGAGATTTAGGAATATCGAGTAGATCCATTAGAGGGAGGAAACCATGCTGTGTCACAAATACTGATTTCTGCTCAGATCTTTGACGAAACATGACAACAAGTTTCTGACAGGAAGTTACTATCACATCTTCGGATTCATCTGGTCTTAAGGAGCTCACCAATCTGCTAAACTCGACTACCTATTAAAACTTAACAAATTACTACTAAGTTTTGGAAACCACTAAAACAGAGTTGTGATTTGAGAAGCCATGTTCCGTTTTCAACATATTAATTGCAAATCATCATTCTCAGAGCATGAAGTGGGTCAGCCAAGTAGCATCAGCATGATATAAAATGCCAAAAGATTGCCAAAACTTCAGGATATAAGAGTTTGCAGAATACCTGAAGAGGAAAAAGATTCTCCGCGGGCACTTTTTCATCAAATACCTGGAAAACAAGATATGAAAATATGTTAAAAGTATATTACTTAAATTATACAACCTGCAATACTTGATACAGAGCATACCAAGCCATCAGTGTCAATAACATCATCTTTCAAAACGCCCATCATTAAGCGGAAAAGATCAACACCATCATTTGAATGCCCCGTTTCACCCTCCATTTGCTTCTGAGCAATTCTAGCCCTCAGTTTTGTTGCCAGATCATTCTTTCCACCATCTGCGACAGGAGAATCACCCTGGTTGACATTTGACATAAGCGTCGATGTTGAGGCTTCATTTGGTTTTCCCTCAGAAACTTTATCCAATGGATGAAACAAATCATGCAAACAAGCATCCCCAGGAGGATCACTAAATCTTGTCAGTTCATTCCCAGAAAAACTAGATGGTGTCTTCACAGCCTTCAAGATAGATATAACAAACATAATAGATCTAGTCAATTTATCAATTAACTCAACACACAAAGCACAACATACTCCCTCGTGATTGACCATTTTATCTAAGAAATTAAAGTGCCAGGAGAAGAATAACGTAACAGCACAACGGACCTTTCGAAGCACAAGATCTTCACCTTTTTGGCCAAAACTATGTGATTTCTGATCCACCTGGATGGAACATTCTTTTCCAACCTGCTTTGTTGCTAAAATATTTCTTCTACCTTCAGGTATTTCATCATGTTCAGAATTCCCATCTTGGGATGTCCCTTTTGCATCCGAAGAAACACTGCAAGTACCAGATTGAAGAGAAGACTTATCACGGATAGACAACGTAGTAACTTGATCTGACATAAGATCATCTTCGGAATCCGTTTCACCAAGATCACTGGGTGAAGGCTGATCTTTCTCAGACCTAAAACTCGCCACACCTACCACAGGTAATTTGCTTTTCGAGTTCTGGACAATAATAGCACTGGATCAGTAGCTTTAGCAAAGTTCATCTCTAGCTTTAATGCGTTACACTACTCATCTCTAAATTTCGTATCTCCATCTCCAAAAGATTGATTGTTGGTAAAATTAGAGCTTAGGAATCTTACAGTTTTTGACATCCCCACTTTTTCTGCTGAAAGGCTCTCAGCTACATCTTGACTACCTTCACCATCCTTTTCTGAACTTGAAACGCCTTCCTTCATATATCTGCAAAGGACGAAGTGCCCAAGGACAGCATTACAAACACATGTGCTAAACCATTAGATGGGATATATTATAAATTTTGAAATATTCTTCCAAAAGTTAAAATGGAATACACAGGTTCTCACCTGATGGTTCCACTATGCCGCAGTGATGACTGCAATGCTCGTCTAGAGTTTCGTATCCAAGGGTGAGAGAGCAGTGTCTTCGCATCAGGCCTCTGCCTAGAGTCCTGTAATATGCAAGATACAAATCAGAAGTAAATAGTGGATATGAAATAAATCAAAGTGCCAAAGGTTGTAGAATGAATCACTATTGCAGCAAACTATACCTTCTTGAAGCACTGTCGTAGGAAGTCTGTAATATCTGGAGAAAGACTATCAGGAATAGGAGGGCTATCATCCTAAAACGAAACCACAATAGGCTTAATGGCTAACAGCTTTGGCATTTTTTTAGTCATGAGAGAAGTGATTTACAAGAAGGAAATAATAAGGGGGGAGGAAGAGACACCTATATTTTATTGAATTAAAGCAAACTCGTAAAATGTTGGAAAAACCTGAACAATACGAAAGAGGGCTGGCATGGGCTGCAGATCATAGTAAGGAGGTACACAAGTCAAAAGTTCGATAACAGTGCAACCAACACTCCAAATGTCAGAAGCAGCACAAACTCCTGACATTTCAATAACCTGAAACAAATATTGGGTTTTTTGTCAGAAAACACATAATCAGTAAAAAAGTTTTTTAGAGGAGAAAACAATATGCATCTGTCAAAATAAGAACAAAGTCCAGTTATAGAATTTACATACGAAAATTAACCTATACAGAATATGATGATGGAAGATACATATATATATATATATATATATATATATATAAGCAGAAGGTTTACCTCAGGAGCCATCCAGTAAGGAGTTCCAACCACTGAGTGAGTGTTGACATCAGCCTCGTTTAGTTTAGTGGCAACTCCAAAGTCAGCAAGCTTCACAAGGCCCTAAAGTATGAAATAGTCAGATATCTAATGAAGAATGGCCTGGAAGAATCTTGTTCATCCCCGAATACAACAGATCTTGAAACGAAAAAACGTACTGAAAACATGAGAATAACTAATACGATCCACAAGGTATAGAAAAGCACACCTCCTTCGTTGTCAAAATATTTGCTCCTTTGATATCACGATGTATGACACCCTGCTCATGCAGATATACCAAACCTTCCAAGACCTGTATTCACTTGTTTGTTAGTACAAAAATCTTTAACAGAAACTTAACTCAACTAGGAAAAGATATATACGAACCTGCGCAATGTAAAGAGTCACCAACGATTCTGGGAAAGGTCCAAATTTGTTTGGTTTGATAATGTTTGCAAGAGAGCCATTCTCAACGTACCTGCAAACATCTTATTGGACTTGAATTTCCAGACCTTAGTCCAGAGTGGACCAAAATAGATAGTAAAAGTATTACTTACTCCAGAATAATGTGAAGGTGAGTCTTTGTCTTCAAAGACCCAAGATACTTGACAATGTTTTTATGGTTCAAGTTCTGCATCGAAATAACATCTTAGAAGGCATACTGCAACTTTCCACAGCTTATGTTAAAAAAAAAAAAAAGGCAAAGAATGTGTAATGGAACAAGAAGTGCGGGATATGGAAGAAAGAAGCTACCTTCAACAGATCGATTTCTTGCTGGAGAAAAAAAGAAACCATCCCAAAAGCCGACAACCATGAAAAGTGTAAAATCAGGATTCAGAGAGCATAGCAGTGGTAAGGAAATGAGTGACCAAATGTAGTCCAAAGAGATTATATAACAGAGAAGGAAGATAAATAAATGAAATTGTAACAGACCATTATGGTGTTAAGATCCTCTTGAACAATGTTTTCCAATGAGACTTGTTTAATGGCCACAAAGTCTCCATTCTCCAGGTCTAATCCTATATAAACTCGACCATAAGCACCTTTACCAATCTCATCCCCCAGCATCTGCGCTCAAAAGTCAAAAGAACCAACCTTGGATAGTGACTAAAAAAGCTCTGGACAGACCAAGAAGATCAATAAAAGAAACAACTTTTCATGTTTGCCCGTCTGGGATTCGACAAAGATTTAACATTCCAATTACGAATTCTAAAATCCTAGCCATAAGACCCGAATCCCAAGGAAAAAAGGCAAGCTTTACATATTTGTTGTCGAGAGTCTTTGATTTGTGGAACTGAGATGACGTCATTTGTCGCGCCATCTCGTCTCTTTCCCCAACTCCGTCAGCAAAAAATGCAAAACGAACAACAAATTGCTGCTCAAGGAAACCGATCCATTTACGAGGGAAAAAGCCCAGAAGAAATAAAAATTCTTAGGGTTTTAATTACCAATTAAATTCAAGGAATTGAGATTCCATGCCAGTCTTAATACAGTTGTTAAATATGACCAATTTAAATCATAGATTATCAAAAACCGAAAAGAAGACAGCTAAGATCGTATGCCGATGATTCTTTATACGCCAGTTTTCATTGTTTATTTACGAGGCCCATATCTTTTTCTTTCTTTACGATTTCGAACCTTACTTTCTACATCTGTACATTTTAGCTTTCCTCCAGTTTCTGATTTTTTATTGTGATATACGATCTATTTTTTGTTTTGTCGAGTGATATACGATCTATTTGTCAATAATCTTAATATAGAAGCACAAATCACATTGATTGCCGACAAGACATATCCGCGCCAAATTCTTTTTTTTTATATATATATATAACTCAGCAATTTATTTACAGTTTGAAAGATGATTGGATAGTCATTTGTTAAAATACTTTTTTGACTTCTTGGAAAAAACAAAAAGTACTCAAAGACAAAGATATTTTTCTGAAAAGTGACTATGTAAGGGAATCTCCCAAGTAAATGGTAAAAAAATCAGGCATGCCCATGTCAGACCAAGATACTGTCTGATAAAGACCACCATCCTTAAGAGATGAGAGATGAGAGAATTGGTCGATGCAATTGGTGGTATGACTGTGTTGGGAATTTTTTTTTTTTTTGGTCGAAACTCGAAACACTGTGAGAAGTAAAAAGTCTTTTTTTCCAATATGTGTAGATATTATTATGTTTTTCCATTGTGCTGCATATATATAGATACATGTCCAAAACTCCAAAGAATAAAGAACATCCGCTAGTTGAAAAACAGAGAACAATGCAAATAACCAAATAAATGAAGCAACTAATTTAACAAATTCGTCTCACGTTTAACAAATCCTTGGTGATTTAGTTCCATGATTGGGAATATTGGGGTAATTAGGGTTAAGATTATTTTAGTAATTAAAATAAACTAAGTAGCTAGATACAGAAGAAGAAGAAGAAAAGGGTCGTACTTCCCTTTTCTTTAGTCAGTAGTGCATTGTTCTGTTAAGTAACTGTAAGTTTGACTTTGTGAAAATTAAAATATGTATCTCACACTCGCTCTATGAGAAACCTCCACATCGTGAGGAATCCATTGTTCCAGATCTAGCTCTCTTAGATCTGATTTCATGGATTGCTCTCTTCTTCTAATCTCTCTCTTACTCACAATTTCTTCATGTGGTGCATCTTCTTATGTGGAAGAACAAAAGAGAGACAGGATCAGTGAGTTACCTGGACAACCTAGCAATGTCGATTTCAGACAGTACTCAGGTTACATCACTGTGAATGAAGAACGTGGAAGGGCTTTGTTCTACTGGCTGGTCGAGTCTCCAGCGACCCGTGACCCAAAGTCTAGACCTTTGGTTCTGTGGCTCAATGGAGGTCCAGGTTGTTCCTCTGTTGCTTATGGTGCTGCTGAAGAAATTGGACCTTTTCGTGTTGGGTCTGATGGGAAAACTCTTCATCCCAAACTTTATGCTTGGAATAAATGTAAACAATCATTCTAATTCTGTCCATGGATTGCTCTTCTTCTTCACAATCCCGATTCAGATTTGTTCTCTTTTCTCTTTTCAGTGGCGAACCTGCTTTTCTTGGAGTCTCCAGCTGGAGTTGGTTTCTCATATACAAACACAACTTCAGATCTTTACACAACCGGTGATCAGAGAACTGGTACAACTCTTTGATTCTCTATGGTCTCTCGGCATTTGCTACCTTGTTTTTCAGGCTCTATTGAGCTTGACTCATGTCTTGTCTTAATGAATCTGCAGCTGAAGATGCATATAGATTTCTTGTCAACTGGTTGGAGAGGTTTCCACAATACAAGCATAGGGATTTTTACATTGTTGGAGAAAGCTATGCAGGTTTCAATCTCTACCTTCAAGCTCTCTTCATCTTCAGAAATGGCTGATGCTTAGTCTTGAATCTCTCTCTTGGACAGGTCATTTTGTTCCTCAGTTGTCTAAACTTGTCCATGAAAGAAACAAGGGCTTCAAGAACCCGGCTTTAAACCTTAAAGGTTTTATGGTAAAGACTGAAAAAAAAATATCGACTTTCTTACAAGATTGTAAACTTTTGGAATTTTTAAATACTCTGCTTATTCAGGTGGGAAATGCTGTTACAGATGACTACCACGATTATATAGGAACGTTCGAATATTGGTGGAATCACGGTCTCATATCTGATTCCACTTATCACCAACTAAAGACCGCGTGCTACTCTGTATCATCTCTGCACCCTTCACTGCAGTGTATGGTAGCTCTGAGAAATGCGGAATTAGAGCAAGGAAATATCGATCCATATAGCATTTTCACCAAACCGTGTAACAATACTGTACAACTTAAGAGTTTCTTAAGGGGTCGCTATGTAAGTTTCATACATCAGAAAGCATTTCGGATTTGGTCCTTTATGTTTGTTTATATGGGCTAATGATGCACTTTATATTCAAAACTCAGCCATGGATGTCAAGAGCATATGATCCTTGTACAGAGAGGTATTCAAATGTGTACTTTAACCGCGTGGAAGTTCAGAAGGCTCTACACGCAAATGTCACTCGCTTACCTTACCCTTGGAAATCATGCAGGTCTAGAATATTTCTACTTCTGATTGTATCTATATACATACTCTAATTTAAAATTTTGGGTTTTTTGGTCTCTTGCAGTGACATTGTAGGAAGCTATTGGAGAGATTCCCCTGTTTCTATGCTACCAATATACAGGGAACTGATTACTGCAGGTCTCAAAATATGGGTCTTCAGGTACCAATTTTGTAACTTTCCTAAAACGTTTTGTGATGTTTCTCTTAATTGCAAATGAAGGTTGCTTGATCAATCTTCCTACATAATATGCAGTGGAGATACAGATGCAGTGGTTCCTGTAACTGCAACCCGATACTCTATAGATGCACTGAAGCTGGCAACCATCACGAACTGGTACCCTTGGTACGATCATGGCAAGGTGAGACAAATAGAGATTCCTCAAAGTTAATATCTATGTAGAAGCAGGAATGACACTGTATTGTAATTTGTAGGTTGGTGGATGGAGTCAAGTGTACAAAGGGCTTACACTAGTGACAGTAGCAGGAGCTGGTCATGAAGTGCCTCTACACCGTCCCCGTCAAGCCTTTATTCTTTTCAGATCCTTTTTAGAGAGTAAACCGATGCCAATGACCTGAAAACAAACCTTGATTGGATCTCTTCCCCAAAATTCCTATTCTTTGTTCTTCTTCACCATCCATAAACCCAATGTCTTCCTCAATCCTTGGTGCATCCAAATTCAGCACACGATTGATTAGCTGTTTAGAACAAGTCATAAGCCACTCTTCTTCTCTGTGTAAAATCTATATCTCAAAGACTCAATCTATCAATTCTCCAAATTTATATATCAAATCAAATTCTTTCACAACTACAAATTTTGATATCATATAATCCCTTTTAGAAACTATACCACAACTAAACCAAAGACCCAACCATGAGCGTATACAACAATGCAGACTATTGTCATTTGGTTAAGAGTCATGAAAGATCTCTATGAGATGAATACATCACTTGAAGACCCTCTCTCTGTCACTCTTGGGTTTCCCAAAACGCGGAACAACCACAGGACCACCACGCACCCTTTCAAGGGCAAAACCTATTCTCATTGGCCGACCCAATAATCCCTGCAACAAAGAAATCACTTGAGAACACCATTCATAGTGATAGCAAAACAAATCCTTTTTTTTTTTGGTTTTTACCTTTCCATCCATGGCATGTTTTGCAGATAGAGCATCGTCCTCCTCTGCAAAATCAACAAAACCGAATCCTCTTGATCTACCACTCTCTTTGTCGTACGCGATCCTAACTGAAAACAAATATATTTTACACATTAAGGAATCTAAGTCGAACTTCATTGTAACTCAAGCTCTTCATTGTCAGGCAATGGCTTCAAGGTGAGAGAGTAAGAGCTCTTCAAGCTTCTATAAACTCATTAATAAACTAAAACAAAAGACCAGATAAATCCCATATATACACAGAAGTCCAAGACAAAGGTTCACTCAGACATTTCATCGAACACTTGGAGGAGTTTAAAGATAACGATCGAAATGCTTACCTTCTGAAACCTCCCCAAAGGAAGAGAACGCGTCTTTGAGCGATTGCTCATCCACAGACCAGGACAATCCTGCATACGGGTTTCAAAATCATCATTTTTCATGTATGCATGTAAATGTGCGACCATACTAGAAGTCATTCGAACCTCCGATGAATAGCTTGGAACTGGGTGAAGCAGAAAAAGATGAGCAGAAATGATGAAGAATATGGAAGCTAGAAGGAAGCGAGTGTTGAGGTATCGCTGAAACTCGTCTCGCCAGTAGCTCAATACAATTTCTCATGATCAATTATATGAACTCTGTTTCTTCAAATTAAGCTCTGTTTTGTTGTCTTTTTATATATATTGACGACAACACAAAAAAAAAGTCTATTAAATATTTTTTCTTGAATTATACTGCAAATGAGAAAATATTATTCAAATTTCCTTCTCTTAAAGAAATGTGGCTGAGGAAGGACCAACCGAAAAGGATAAATCATTTCCGCAACATCATCCACTCTTCTTCTATTCTTCCTAAAGCTTCCTCCTTCAATGGCGACGCTGGGTTTCAACACCTCTCGAATCCAGACACCTTCACTTCCCAGAATCCCTAGATCCTCTTCTTTTCCGAAACCCATCAAAACCCCTCTCTTCTCCTCCGAAGCCCTGTCGAAACGCGGCCGTTTCGTCTCAAGATCCTTACCCGAGAGTTCACTGTCGATTACAAAAGAAGAGACAGTCATCAAACAGGAGGAGGGAAATGAAGTAGATGAAGATGATCCAACGTCGGAGCTGAGTTATCTGGATCCGGAAACCGATGCAGAGAGCATAAAAGAGTGGGAATTGGATTTCTGCTCGAGGCCAATCCTCGATTCCAGAGGGAAAAAGATTTGGGAGCTTGTGGTTTGCGATGCTTCACTCTCGCTTCAAGTGACCAAATACTTCCCCAACAATGTCATTAACAGTATTACCCTCAAAGACGCCATAGTTTCCATCACACAAGACTTGGGTGTTCCCCTCCCTGAGAAGATTCGCTTCTTCAGGTGAAAAGCCGACTTTAAAGTAAGGTTTTTTATTTATGGAAGTGTAATCTTATTGTTGAAATTGTTTTTTTTGTTTGTATGGTTTTGCAGGTCACAGATGCAAACCATTATCACAAAAGCTTGCAAAGAGCTTGCCATAAAGGCGGTGCCTAGTAAACGGGTGAGCAACGTTTTTATTTTGTTTTACAGGTTTTCTTCTATATTAGAACAAGTTCATAATAGCAATCCAAAGTCTGCATTTGCAGTGTCTCTCTCTGTTTCTGTGGTTGCAAGAACGTTATGATACTGTGTACACGCGTCATCCCGGTTTTCAAAAGGGATCATTGCCTCTTCTATCTTTAGACAATCCCTTTCCGATGAATCTTCCAGAGAATTTATTTGGGGAGAAATGGGCATTTGTTCAATTACCTTACTCTGCTGTTAGAGAAGAGATCTCATGCTTTGAGGAGAAGTTTGTGTTTGGTGCAAGCTTAGACTTGGATTTGCTTGGCATTGAAGTGGATGAGAACACACTGATTCCGGGTCTCTCTGTTGCTTCTTCACGTGCTAAACCTCTAGCAGGTGAGTGTGTAGTTTCTTGCTAAACCATATTCAAGAAGTTAGTTGTTGTTCAGTTGTTGTAGTAATGTGGTTTATGATCCTGAGTTTATTATATACGTGGTCATTATAGCTTGGATGAATGGGCTTGAGGTATGTTCGATCGAAGCAGACAGTTCCAAAGGATGTTTGATTCTATCTGTTGGGATCTCGACAAGATATGTCTACGCAACCTACAAGAAAACACCTGTTACCACCGATGAAGCTGAAGCTTGGGAATCTGCAAAGAAAGCAAGTGGAGGTTTGCATTTTCTTGCAATTCAAGATGACTTAGATTCTGATGATTGTGTTGGCTTTTGGCTTCTTATTGATTTGCCCCCACCCCCTGTTTAATTTCACTTTGATCATAATAATACCATATTTTGCCATTTAGTAACAGAGTACAACTGAAGAATTTTATATTTATAGTCAGACTCATAATACAATTCCATAATACATGCTTAAATTTGAACAAATTGTTAACATGAGTCTGCAAAAAGTATGGACCTAGCGCAAATGAGCGAGTTACCAATTGAGCCTTAACAACATCATAGCCTACCTTCAACATCACAAGTAATATCTACAAAATTTGGTGTTGTTCTTCTTACTGATAATCACCACCCAGACGCGTGAAATACCTCAACACTCAAATCTTCTTCATGTGGCTCACACACAGAAAGTTGGTGACTAAAACGCTGCTCTTGATGGTCCAATTACTCTAATCAACTCCTCGACCTCTTTTGCTTCTGCGGTATGAAGCGGATTCTGTTCTTTCCAAGTTCCAATGTCTTGATGCTTCCATCATCTAGAGAAACTGACAGTGTGGACGTGTCTCCAATAACGTCTGTCACTGTTCCTTTATTCCTTTAACAAGAAATGTGTTATTAGTTTTAAACGTCGGATTTTAATACAAAATGCACGCCAAAAACAAGAGAAAGTTAAGAAGATCAAACTTACCATGAGTTTTGAGATCCATGAACTTCGACTCTCTTTCCTATTGAATCTCTACCCAACTTCTTCAAAATCCAGTTAGCATCCATCATCTCATCGTTCCTTGAACTATCTGGATGAGAATGTGTTGTAGTTTCACCGTCTTCCTCCAAAGAAGCCTTGTCCACTAAGCTTGAAGGTCTCTTTCTCTTTGATCTTTGACCCTTTGCAGTACTCAGCTTTTCATCCTCAGACTGTGTTGTAACCAAAGATGTCTGATCTCCCGAATTAGGTTTCCTGAGTTTAAATTTTAGCAGAGGTCTTGCTTCTTTCTGTAAAGATGGTGAGATGGATGTTCTGTCATCCACATGACTTCCTTCACTTGTAGATGCAGGGAACTGAGTGATCAACCCAAATGTAGCTTTACTTCCTTCAGATTGAGTTTTCCCAAACCTTCCAGAAATCTTCAAGGTTCTTACTTCGCCCGACGATTGATCTTTGTCCCTCGGTAAATGAGATACAACATTGGACTTAGAAGAATCACTGACATTTATTTTCCTAGCACCTAGATTAATGACCAACTTCTTTGCCTTTACAGATTTCTCATCGCCTGCATTCCTTTGGAAATCCTCGCTATCAGAATCATTAGGCTTGCTACACTTTATTCTGACTATTCTTGATGGCTTTTCCTCATCGGTCACCATAACATCATCAACCCTCTTGTGTTTTACAATCTTCGGTTCATGTGTTGAGCAGATTCCAGCTACAGAAGAATGAACATCAGATCGTTCATTTATCTGGAACTCCACATTGTTAACTTTGGCACCACCTAGCCTGCGTCTCTGAGATTCAATCTCCTGTTGAGCTTCAGAATCCTGTTGGGGCTCTAACTTAGTGTGATTACCTTTTTTACTAGCATGTTTTTTGTTAAAAGAGTTCTTCCCATACTCCTTGCTTTTCTTCGGGGATTTTTCCACCAAACCTTTGATAGAGAGCTTTAATGAGCGCCCAGATACGGGACCATTATCTTCATCATCTGAAAACGGAAATATCGAAAATATTTCTTGCTCTGTTGGCAAACCAGCAGCAGCCCTTAAACTAGCAACCAACTCTTTGTCAACCACATCTTTTTTCTTCCAAAGTTCTTGAACTGCATCCTGATGATCCTTCACCTGAGAGGCAAGACATAAATTGAAAACAAAAGAAAACTTATATGATTAACACACCAGCAAATTAAACTATTTATAAGATAATAAGAAACAAGAAGAATGATTTGAGTGACTAAGAAGCGAGGTTACTCACAAAAGGAACAGGCATACCTGATAACACTCTCCACGGCATGTGGCACATTTATATTGTAGGTTTCCATCAACTTGAAACTGATGATATTTCTCATCACTGCATGACAGTTTTCAAAAGCAAACAATTCCAGATTTAATATAACTGAAATACATTTTGCTCTGCATATTTAAAGTTCCCAATACACAGATGCAACCGCGATAACTATATTTATAACATATGATGATGAAGAACCTTATTCCATCGCAATGGCAATGCACCCAGCGTTGACAAATATCGCAGCATACCATTGGTGTTGATTCGGAATCCCTATACACCTATAGAAGATAAGCAACTTGGTTAATGCAACAGTAACTGCATGTTTTGGCCAAGGGCATCACGCACTAAATAATAAAGGCCATGGTAGGGCTAAAACGCATTTTTCTTAAGAAATACCTTCAAGCATACAGGGCAATAATTTCCCTTCACAAACAATCTGCCACAAGCATCACAGCAAGTATATGATAAAAACCACCTGTTACATTAAAAAGAAAAAAAAAAGAGAAAATTTAAAAAATAGAAAAGAGTGAGAGAATAACTGATCAATGAATTTTAAGAAATCAATCCTTCTGCAATTCCGTAACTCCAAACGAAATTCTTGTCCTACTCCCTAATATGGCTACCTGCAAAGGACTACGAAGTATACCTGACACTTAGGCCGTTTCCAGGGACAGTGGAATCACAGCTGTGGCATCTTGTATGCTTTGGGCACAGATATGGCCCAGAACTTACATTCTGTGCGGTCCAGATAAAATACATAAGCCAATTGACTTTATTTTTTCAAAGATAATTGCATGAACAAGCTATCAGTCAATGTCAAGTACCTTGTGTGGAGGATGTTGGCAATAGCAATGGTAAGCAGCATCACACCTTTTGCAGAACACAAACTTGTTAGGATCTCCTGTTCTACGGCAGACCTAAGGAATGTGAAGACTCAGTGAGGCAAGTTAAAAAAACCTAGGCACACATAGTGACTTATAAGAGCAAAGAGGAACTGTGTCGTTTCTACACAAATTTTTTAGCTTAAGAAACAAAAAAAAGTTCCTGTTTTATCAATCACTTAGTGAGGGATAGGCAGCGGGTAGAAAACTTCAAATGCAAAAATTATCAAAAATGAGAAACTGTACTGACCTCACAAACCCGGCACGAGGGACAAGTCCATGAACTCCAATGAAATAGATCTGCAACATACAGCAATTAGACAAAGAAGACTTAGCAAGCCAGGAAAAGTACAGCAACGCATTGAATGAAGTACCTCGATGTTGGGCCCAAGACTTTAAACAATTCTTGTGGTACTTCTTGCCACAGTCTTTACAGGAGAGCATCCTCCTTGCTTTCTCAGTTCCTTCGCCTTCTCCCAAGAAGCACATTCTGCACATTATATTCATGCCAGACTGAGCTAGTTCCTCACCAGCATGATCTTTTGAAGGAAGCTGTACAAGAATAGAAAATAATAAACTCAACTGAAGGAAAGCCAATACAGAAACAGCTTTGGAAGTAGAGGATGACTTTTTTTAGGCAGTATATGTCCACGAACAAATTTAACAATTTCCCAGTTTTTTGTATGTGAGAATTCTTCATATCGTCCTCCTAACAACAAGACTATCAATGCAATAGCTAAGGAAAGCTCGTGAGGGCAACTAAACTTTGGAACTGAACATAAACCAAATAAGAACAAAACTAGAACTGAGTAATGCAATAGAAAACTAAAAATATTACCTCATTGACACCAGATTCAAACCTCCGAGCGTAATCCTCGGCAGCCTCAACCGTAACGGCGGCTTGTCTCTGAAGAGATGCACGCTTCTTCTGCGCCGAAGCTTCCTCCGCCGTTTCATCAATGAAGCCATCTCCAACCCCCAAAATTGAAGCCGTCTGAGTAGCAGGAGCGACCTTAGGAACCTTAACCTGAACCGTACCTTGATTAAGAACCCTAGAAGAGCCCCATGGATCGATGAGTAAATCCTCCACTCGATTAACCTCATTCAGAAACTCCTCTTTCGCATTGGCTCCACGGAGATCCCGAGAAAACCCTAGGGAGCAGAAGCAGAGACGACGGCTGCGACAAAGACGGGATTAGCACAAACCAAAATTGAAGCGGAGGGAGATAGAGAGAGAGAGATAAGTGAAGCGTTAAAGGGGAGATTAGAGAGCGATACCATGTAATTGGGCAAGCTACGTGAAAGGCCATATATCCCCCCCCCCTAAAACAATTATTCCTCAGCTTCCAAGCGGAAAAAAAAAAAATCCCAAGATTGATTGATTTTAGAGATCGCTTCGCTCTTTTTATTTTTATTTTTTTTTCATATAAAATATTAGTTGTATTAAGTAATAACTTAGGATCGATTATGCAATTATAATTATTAATCAGACAGTTAGAAATCGGTAGCTTCCTTCTTTCTTTCTTTCTCGCTCTATTATAAAATAAGTGTAGAAGAAGGTAGGTCTCCGCTCTTTTGTGCGTTCTGAGTTTGGTTTTGGACTTTGGAGGCAGAGAGGATAAGATTTTGCTTTTCTCATCTCTCAATCTTAATCAACGGTGCTTAAAGATGCACCCATAAAAACAGAGCCCTTGCTGCATCCTCCAATCAAAAGTCTCCACGTCTGACTTACTATAAAACCTTAAAAAGAGTGATTTGCAACTATTGAAAGAGTCAGAAATCAAATTATTATTATTTTCATTCTTTTACTGTAATTTATAGTATTATGCATAATTACAAGAAACGATGTAACTACAAATATGCAATTTCTTATTAATCAACCAAAGATAAACTGATTAAAGAGACCAAATGCCTAACCTGTTAAAGAGTTGTGGTGGCAAAGCATAAAACATAAAACCACCGTAAGCAAAACTTTTGACAAAAGTCTTGCTAATCAGAGCAATGCCAAAACAAAAAGATTGCAAGAAGGAGATATTAGACCACCTCCAACCGAGGTTTAACACAGGTTCACAAGTGGGGCCTTTAAATTTTGTTGGGTTCAAAATTAATTAAATAAGTCCAAATTCATTCAACCCGTATGACTAGAGTCATACTTTTGAGTCCGTATGACTCAGTATGACTGGCCACGTGGCGCTAATTCATTCGCTCTGTGGAAAGAGAAAATTCAGGGTTTTTCTTTTTTTTCCTTTGCAAAATTTTGTGTCGAAAAAAAAGAAGACGAAAACTCTCTCGAGCATCTCCATCGCGATTTACGCCGATCTCCATCCCAACGCCGTCACCGGTGATTCGAGCCGATATTCGCCGATCTCGTAAGCAAAGGTAAGTTCAGTGTATCTCGTGCTTCTATTTGTTTGTTATTTTGTTGTTAGAAATTAGGGATTTGGGATTTGGGGATAAATTTAGGGTTTGTCGAAATGAAAAATCTAGGGTTTTTGAATGAAATCGTTTACTGCGTTTGATTCGAGACCTGCGTTGGTTATTGGGTTTGTTGTTAGAAAACGAAAACGAAATCTATGATTGATTGCAATTAGGGTTTCAACAATTGGGAATTTTTTTTTCCAGCGATTTGATAAAACTTTAGGGGTTTTCCTATAAATTGATTTATGCATTTGATTCTATACATGTGATGCGTAATGGTGTGGTTGTTGTTATAAAACGAATTGTAAGTGTTAAATTGAAATCGAGACCATACGATTTATGTAAGTGTTTAGTGGTGTCATTGCTTGTTCAAGAGTTTAATGATAATTGCTAGGTGTTCAAGTAAACGCTGATTAGCTAGTGTAACATTAATCAGTTTAAGTAATGAGTTTGGTATGTTTAAGTAATGAGTTAGCACATGCAGATCATGCCGATTCGTGTATTTGCGGCCCTTTCATACATGTTCAAGTAGTAGAAATAAGTTGTTATGTGTTAAGCAGCTATTTCCTTTCTTATTTATGTGGGATGTTGTTGTTATTAGGAAGACAATCTTTGTTAAGACTCGTTATGGTTAATGCATCTATGTATGTTTTGTTATTGCCTTGGTGAACTCGGTTACTGCTTTCTTTCCTTCTTTCGGATTTCATTGGCAGGTTAGGCGGCAGGAGGGAGTGAAGCAGATAGCTAATTCTTCTTTTCAAATTCTTTGTCTCTGTTATTTATTTAAGAGTTTGCTAACAATTGTTTCTTTAATGTTTTTGCGAGGTTATCATGAAAACGATCCCTTGATGAATCCAAAAGCCCCAATGAATTGCAGATTAGCTTGCCACGATGGAAGGTTAGTAAATTTTACCTTGAAATGTAGTTAATGCTTGTCATTAAATATAGGTAGTTACTTGTCACTGCTGGTTGATTGGATTAGGGTAAATTGTGGTTAGGTTTTATAGATGTAGACTTTCTTGTCATCGATCACTTCTTCTATAGCTCGGCTTAGTTAATGCTAAGAGAGCTTTTCATTCATTACTAACCTAACTTGTATAGCTCGGCTTAGTTAATGCTTAGTTAATACTAACCCTAAACTATTCTCGGAAAACTTTTGCAATCTTTTCATTCATTGCTAACAGATCTTTTCATTCATTACTAACCAAACTTTTATCACTTCAAAACTCATTATAAAAACCGCTGAACAACTTTAAGTAACTTCTTATTCCCTCCTCTTCACCAACCCCTTATTTAATCTAAACTTTCTCTGCAATTCCTCATATTCCCTACTCTTCAACCGATCTTATTTCCTTCTCTCCTATTCTTTGTACAATCCACGCTTTGTCTTTCGTGATGGATTCGCCGGACCCTTATGCTCACTCCCAAGGTTTTCTTAACCTTTTAACCAGCCAAGAGGAAAACAGTTTCTCTTTTCCACCAAGTTCTGAGCCTGCTTCCTCCCAACTCCCACGCTATAGTACACAGTACTCCAACGACCCAAATGTAACGGCTGAGACTAAAACAACCAAGAGGAAGTGGCATCCCACTGAAGACATTGTGTTGATCTCGGCTTGGTTGAACACCAGCAAAGATCCCATTGTCGGGAATGACCAGAAAGCAGGTGCTTTCTGGTCGCGCATTACGGATTGGTTCAACAACAGTCGACAGTTAGCTGCGTTTCCAGATAGGACGGTCAGCCATTGCAAGCAACGGTGGGGGCGTATCAACGACCAGACATGTAAATTTGTTGGCTGCTATGAAGCCGCCTTGAAAGAACAAAGCAGTGGGATGAACGACAACGACTTGATGAAGACTGCTCATGAAATCTTCCTTAACGATCACGGCTTCAAGTTTGGGCTGGAGCATGCGTGGAGGGAACTCAGGCACGACCAGAAGTGGTCTTCATTGTCAGCGGTGAAAGAGTCTGAGGTCAAAAAACGTAAAAAGGGTGATGACTGCTCACAAGCTTCTGCAACATCGCAACATCAGAGTTATGAAGAAGACTCTTCTGTTGTTCGTCCACCGGGTGTGAAGGCTGCGAAGAATGCGAGGGGTAAAAGGAGTGCACCAGATAAAGATGATGGCAAAGAGGTGTCCGATGTGGTCACCATGTGGGAAATTAAACAACATGATTTAGCTATGAAAGATAAGCTATCTAAGCAGAAATTGCTAGATAGTTTGGTTTTAAGAACCGATTCACTAACAGAGAAAGAAAGGGTAGTTAAGGAGAAACTGCTCAATGAATTGTTTTTTTAAATTTTGATTTTGGCTTAAGTTGGTTTAGGTTTGTTTAATGTTTCTTTTTCTTATGTTCGTATGGTATGGTTGTAGTGGTTTATAACTCGGATTACTAAGTCCGAATTTGGTTGTATGTTCGAATGTTGTATTGGATTGTAGTTCTGATTTTTCTTGTATGCCGACTTGGACTTTATTTTTCCTTAAGCTTATTGATGCCTCTGTCTTGCTTATTGATGCCTCTGTCTTGCACAGGTTGTGGTTTGTCTCTTCTTTGTGACTAATCATGGATAATGGAATGGAGGGTCCATCTCCTTTTGGTAGTTGGCGCAAGTTGGCACAAGTTGGCAAAGTTGAACAAATAATGGAATACAACTTTCACCACAAATTCTGATTTATTGGTTTGTCATATGTTTGTACCCACATATATTTACGTGTAATTGTATCCACAAAATTTTATGCTTGTCGTTGTATCCACAAAATTTTCATCTCCTTTTCTATATAAAGAGTATTAAGAAACCATAGTCTTCACCATATCCTAAATCTCTTCAACGTCTTTCTTCCCCATCTCATTCATCTTTTTTTAACCTTCAAGCACATTATTTTTTTATCAATGGCATCTTCATCCAACAATCCTTTCAATGAGGAGAATGATGAAAGTTTAGATGATGCATTTGATGATCTTTTTGATCAAAAATTTGACACCGCGTTCTACTCTTTACTTGAGCGTCAAGTCGATCAAAAGAAGAAGAAGAAGAGGGCATACATTGAAAGACATCGCGAACAAGGTCATCACCGATTATGGGAAGATTACTTCAGCGAAAATCCTACATATCCTTCCAATTTATTTCGCCGCCGTTTTAGGATGAACAAGACATTGTTCATGCATATTGTAGAACGGCTATCCAATGAAGTCCCATTTTTCCAACAAAAGAGAGATGCTGCTGGAAGACTAAGTCTTTCTGGGTTACAAAAATGTACGGCGGCAATTCGGATGTTGGCATACGGTACTGCGGCTGACGCAGTTGACGAGTATCTACGTCTCGGTGAAAGTACTGTAATTTCATGTTTAGAACATTTCACCCAAGGAATAATATCTTTGTTCGGGGATGAATACTTAAGAAGACCCACAAGGCAAGATCTTCAACGTCTACTTCGTGAAGGAGAGAAACGTGGATTTCCCGGGATGATTGGTAGCATTGATTGTATGCATTGGGAGTGGAAAAATTGCCCGACCGCTTGGAAAGGACAATATACACGGGGTGCGGGAAAACCAACAATTGTCTTAGAAGCTGTAGCATCATACGATTTATGGTTTTGACATGCCTTTTTTGGACCTCCAGGTACTCTAAATGATATTAATGTCCTAGACCGCTCACCCGTTTTTGATGACATATTACAAGGTCGAGCTCCAAAAGTGAGGTTCTATGTCAACGGAAATCAGTATAATCTGGCATATTACCTAACTGACGGTATTTATCCCAAATGGGCAACATTTATCCAATCTATTTCCGGTCCCCAAAGTGAAAAAGACACTTTATTTGCTACATGCCAAGAATCAACACGAAAAGATGTCGAAAGAGCGTTCGGAGTTTTGCAAGCCAGGTTCGCCATTGTTAAAAACCCAGCTCTTATATGGGATAAAGCAAAAATTGGGAAGATTATGAGAGCATGTATCATATTACACAATATGATAGTGGAAGATGAAAGACCGGTCAACTCTCAATATAATTTTTCTGAATTTCAACAAGGAGAAGGAAGCAGAACTTCAGAAGTCGATATGACGTATTCAACAAATATGCCCACAAATATCTCTAATTTGATCGGGAATAGAAATTAAGTTCGTGATAACCGAATTCATCAACGTTTGAAGGCTGATTTGGTTGAAAATATTTGGCAAAAATTTGGATCAATTCACCCTTCCAATTAAATGTATTCTACTTTCAGTATTTGTATTTTGTTATTTTCTTAATAATTTTAATAATTTGTTTTTTTAAATAACATATCATGTTATATATCTGTGTTTTATGTTTTTATTTTTTTTTAAATTTAATATGAATTATTTCGATTTATAACAAAATTAAAAATAAATATTATTATTTTATTCATATAAACCCCACACATGAGTTCATGGTTGGAGGGATCAAATAGGTTAGGGTTCATCACCCAAAAAAAAAAATACAAAAATTAAATTAAATACCTATGAACCCCAAAGAGGGGTTCATGGATGGAGATGCTCTTAAAAGTTTGAAATTGCAAATTTGCAATGAAAGTGAAAATACTAAAGAACCGAGTTTGCATAGCCAAATGGGTCTGCATTTTCTTTTATCTGCATGTACGGTTGGGCCCTAGCCCGTTTAGTTTCCGTTTTTATATAAAAGGAAATGATTAAAAAAAAAAAAATTGTGCATTTTCTCTTTGGTAACTGGATTTCGGTTCCTTTTTTTGTATTAAACAAAAAAAAACACCTATTTAGATGGGCTCAAACATATTCTGGCCCTAAAGTAAAATAAAATGTGTCCCGATAGTCACATGTGTAGTAATGATATGCTCGTATTAATTTATGGGTAACAACTTACAACAAACAACGATTAAATTTGATGAAAAAGAAATTGCAAACGAAAGAAGATATAACCATTTCGTAAGTAAAAAAAAAATAACTTTGCTGCAACGTGGAGGAAAACCGGCCGCATGGGCGTTAAGGCGTCGAGTGAATATCATCAATAGATGGAAAATGGGACCCACGACATCTCGTAATTTTGTGATGTGTTATTGCACATGCGCTCGCTGACTATAGCATAACCTCCTCTAGTCATAATATTGCACATGCTTCTGATTTTTTATTTTGCCCTTATGTATGGTCATGGATATTAAATTCATTTAAATCGCAATTATTATTATTGAAACCAGCCAACAACACCTTCCCTCGCTCCATAATTTACAGTTGCATCTGCCGCAATTCCCGTTAAGAAGATCAAAACAGTGCATAAACCTGAGATCCTATACACTTCTTATACGATCTTGTTAAGAATTATAGTTTTTGAAAAATAATCTGTTTTTGAAAGTGCGTAATAGACAGTAGCTTTATACCAATATAATTACGCTTTTTGTAATTATAAAAGGCATTATTCATTAGTATACACTTAGACTTAATCTACATATGTTTTATAGTTGCTGTCTATCTGCGACTTGGTTTGTTCATTGTTGAAGTCTTGAGATTTGTAAACCTATAAAACGGGTTTGTATTTAAAACGCAAATAGTTCATGTGTATGTGGAGTAGAATTGTAGTTCGTTATTGAACTCTTAAATTACTAAAACGAATTTACCAACGGAAGCCTATAATTATCAAAGAAACTTGGATTGGTGGGCGTGGGAAAACTGAATAAAGGCACAAGTGCCAATACGAGATTAGAGAGCATGAATTAAGGAGAAAGTCGGTTTCAGCTCAGCAAGACAGACAGACAAAATGCATCAATGGGGTCCATCTCCATTGCCTCTTTCTACGTGATTTCCTCTCTCTCTCTCTCTCTCTCTCTCTCTCTTCCCCAACTCGCTTTCAGCTCTTCTTTCTTTTCACTTTTCCTGTATAAAGTCGTAGCATCTCGAGAGCGTTTTCCTCTCACAATCTCAAATTCGGACCCAGACTTCTCTCTCACTTACTCGTCTCTGAGGAAGAAACAAAAAAAAAAAAAGAGAAAATGGCAGTGCCTAAAGCCATTGTTCTACCTCTCTTACTAATCGTCTGTGGTGCTGCTCTTGGAGCTCCAGCTTACGAAGGTAAATCTCTCTCTCTCTCTCTGCATTTGCTTTTGAAAGTCTTGATTTTGGAAGATGGGTCTACTCTGCTTAGGAATCTGTATCAAGATTTTAGTGTATTTGGAGTAAAAGATTCGATCTTGGTCTGCAGATCTAAGATTTCTTCTCTGTTTATAACTACAGGATACCTTCGTAATGGGAACTTCGAGGTGCCCCCAAAGAAAACCGACATGAAAAAAACAGTTCTAATCGGAAAAACCGCCTTGCCCGAATGGGAAACCACCGGTTTCGTCGAGTACATCGCCGGCGGTCCTCAACCGGGAGGCATGTATTTCCCGGTGGCTCATGGGGTCCACGCCGTGAGGCTCGGAAACGAAGCCACGATCTCTCAGAGATTAAAAGTCAAGCCAGGTTCTCTCTACGCACTCACGTTCGGTGCGTCGAGAACTTGTGCACAAGACGAGGTTCTTCGAGTCTCTGTGCCTCCTCAGTCCGGTGACTTGCCGCTTCAGACACTTTACAACAGCTTCGGAGGTGACGTGTACGCTTGGGCTTTCGTTCCCACGACTTCTGAAGTTACTGTTACTTTCCATAACCCAGGGGTTCAAGAAGATCCCGCTTGTGGTCCGTTGTTGGACGCTGTCGCCATCAAAGAGCTTGTTCCTCCAATGTACACCAAAGGTAAGCTTTGGTTTGCTTTAGCTTTTAGCTTTAACTTTTCGGTTTTATCGGTTTTTAGAAATTCGAAATCATATTAATTTGTGATATGAATTGTCTCATTTGGCTAGTTCGAGATGTTGGTCTCGTATTTTTGGAGGTTTAACTCTAAATAACAACACCAGTCTGATCCAATTTTGGTTTTTATCAGTTGGTGGATGATTTTGTTTCATAATTGGTTTATTTCCGACAAATGACAGGGAACTTGGTGAAGAACGGAGGGTTCGAAGAAGGACCTCATCGTCTAGTGAATTCGACACAAGGAGTCCTTCTCCCACCTAAACAAGAAGATCTCATATCACCTTTGCCCGGTTGGATCATAGAGTCACTCAAGGCAGTGAAATTCATTGACTCCAAGTACTTCAATGTCCCCTTTGGACAAGCCGCCATCGAGCTCGTTGCAGGCAAAGAAAGTGCCATTGCACAAGTCATTAGAACTTCACCAGGTCAAACCTACAGCCTCTCCTTCGTTGTTGGAGATGCTAAAAACGACTGCCATGGATCCATGATGGTTGAAGCTTTTGCAGCCAGAGATACTCTGAAAGTGCCACACACTTCAGTCGGTGGAGGTCACGTTAAGACGGCGAGTTTCAAGTTCAAGGCGGTCGAGGCAAGAACTAGAATCACTTTCTTCAGTGGTTATTACCATACCAAGAAAGCTGATATTGGATCTCTTTGTGGTCCTGTCATTGATGAGGTTGTGGTTACACATGTCCGTTAAGCTCTATCACGACTGCATCGTGCGTTCTTAATTTCGGCGTTAGATTGCTCCTGGACTTGGTTCTTTGCTTTGTATGGCTTGCTCCTTTTGGAATTAAGTTATAGCCTTCAAGTTAATTAATGGTATAATATATGTTGTGATATGAGAAGTTTTGAGCTAAATGAAGAGCAATTCTAATAACCAAGACCTCAAAAAGCTAGAGCAAGAACTTATTTGTAAATCTTTAAATAATTAAAAATGCTACAAAACTGTAATCTATTGAACTTGAAAATTTAAATTAAAGTGTAAAGTTTGAAACCGCCCCCCCCCCCCCCCCAAAAGTGTAAACTTTTAAGTAGTTGAAAAACTCTAGAAAACACTTGTAAAAGTGAAACTAATAAAAAAAACTAATAAAGTTGAGAAAGAATATGATTTCGGTTTCTGACTTTCTGAAATCGAAACCTTACTCAAGATTTACAGTCAAATTTAGTTTTTTTGTTTTTTAAGATTTAAAACTTAGAATTGGTTAGACTGAATCAATTTTGATATTGTTTATAAAGTTTCAATTTTTTTATAGGTTTTATACTAGGGTTAATCAAGAATATAACTAAATTTTGGTTCTTAATTAAGGAATACCAAATTACACCGGGCACAGCTGTTTTTTTTTGTTTCTTTCATAAACATCAAACACCAAAGAGAAGTCGGGACCAATTTGAACCACCTAGCCTAACAAAACATCCCCACAAAGAAAATGTCTAGCCAGGATGCACTAAAAGATAAACGTTTGGTCCAATTATTTTATCCGAAATTGTTAAGATAACAAGATAACGGTCTTTCGAACAAAATGTGAAAACACGAGAAATAGAAACTAAAAACGAAAAAGATGCATATATCTCGTTATTAATAAAATAACTAAGTCCTAGGAAGATAAAGGCGATCGTCCACGCAAGTATCTCCATGGTCCAGTTCCGGTTGCTATCCTGCATAATTTAGTACACGAGTCAATACTGCTGCGTTTTACTATAATGGGCTGTACACACTTTATTAAAGACCCATCAAGGCCCAATTAAATTACCTGGCAATTCCAGTAATAGCTCGGAGGCCCATATAGATCGTAAGAGCTATCCATATTCCTAGAAAACCATTGAATTTTGCCATGTATATTATTGCTGCAATGCTTACGGCCGCAACTCCTACCTGATTTATCACAATTGATTCACGAAAAAAACAAAAGAGAGAGTCAAACTTTAAGAAATACATGCGAAAAAAAAGAATTAATCATTTGATTACATATAACCCAAAAATATATATATATATATTAATTAAAGAAAATAGTGCGTACCATGGAGTATGCAGTGTAAGCAAAATCAGATGCCCCAAAATTGACTCCGTCCAATACAAAAGCGAGTGAGTTTATTGGCTGTGTTGCTGCTACAAACTGATGTCTCCCACATAAATATACATAAATTCTTATTAGTAATTTTTACTATAGAGGTTAATCTTCTTCTTTTTTTTAATCAAAAAAATTTTCTCAACTAGAATAAGATATCATTGTCGGTTGATCTATTTACTTAGTATTTATAATTATTGTTTATTTAATGGTATTATTAGTACCGGTATCCCAATGGCGATGAGGTGAATAACGGTAGGGTCCTTGGAGAATACTCCGGCACCAAAGTATAGGCCCAGACCAACAAAAACGGACAGTCCAAGGCCTAACACAAAACCCATCTGCATATCAAATTCATCTATTTTAGTTACAATTTTTCGAAATTTGAGAAGAACAAAATCTCTAGGGATTGGTATTGTTCCATTACAAGAAGGAAAGTAGATCAAGACATAACCTGTAGAACACGGGATGCAGCAGCAGTCACTTTGTTGAAGTCCTTCTCGGCAAAAGAACAAGCCAGAATCGCCTGCAAAAAGATTAAATTAAATGATGATTTCCATATTTACAACTTGATCAAAAATGATATGTTAAATAATACATTACATTGATTTATACCTGACCAGCAACGGCAAGACCATCGGCGAGGAGAGAAGTAGTTAACCAGACTTGTAAGCAGATCTGAAAAGCAGCCATTGGTGTTGCTCCGAGCCGAGCCGCCATTGCTGCTGCTAACGTCTGACAAAACGTCACAGCTATGGTCCTCGCCAGCAATAATGACCCTTTCATTTTTGTGCACACAATGTTACTACTTGTTAGACATCCACAGTTCTGTATATTTTCAATATTATCATGTAAATAAATAGTATTTTTTGTCAATTCTGCAAATATATAATTGAAAAATATAATAATATTTTCACAATACTTTAGATTTTTTTTTTTTTACTTTTGTAGTAAACTTTACTTTGATCATTGTAAGGAAAATAGACTTTAGTGAATATGTGTCCCTACCATTTCTAAGGAACTTTCCGAACTGCAACTCTCCGAAGTTTGGTGGCATCAAGTTAACTTTCTTCGCGAGGCGGATGAACAATATTAGTGTCATGAAGTACCTTCACATAAAACAAAAACATTATTTTTTTTTTTAATTCTATGAATGAAGATCCTGAAATGTGGACTAATTTCCGAGAAAACAAAAACTCCACTAGTTGGGCCCGATTCGAGCAAGTCTATTAATTTCAGTTTCACATTTGCATGTGTGAAAAAAGTTGAGAGCTTTCTCTTACTGAGAAATGACATGGGCAATGGCAGCACCGCTAACGCCAAGACGAAGCACAAAGATGAAAATGGGGTCGAGAATGATATTGATAATATCTGCCACGACTGTTTCATGAATCAAGATGAAATATGTTAGATTAGACTCATAATATGTATCATATAATCCACGACTGTTTCATGCATCAAGATGAAATATGTTAAGATTAGACTCATGATATGTATCATATAATAAGAAGGCTATTTAATTAAAAGAATGATCAAAAATGTAACATACGTGTAGCATAGAGAGGAGTTTTGGTGTCCTTGAAGCCACGAAAGATGCCTTGCATTGAAAGCGATAGAAGCAATGCAGGAGCTCCCAATGATCGTATGGTCAAGAACTTGTGCGCTGGTGATAATACTGCCGAATCCTGATCATCGAAAGTCAACGCAAAAATCAGTCAAAACATTTTGTCCAATCCAATATTAATACTGTATGTGCATGTCTATCTATGTACATATAATCTTTTACCGGTTTCACTCCCATGACGCCTAAAAGCACCTTAGAACTGAAAATCAAGACAATAGCTTGCACAAGGCCCAGGATTAACCCTATGATCATGGCCGTTGATGCCGATTTGATAGTCTTCTTTTCTTTTTTATTCGCTTTGTTTGATCCGCTGCTTGACTTTGTAACCGGAGCTAGTTTCACAACCACAAAAAACAAAAACAAAATAATTAGTTACTTCATTACATTTTTTTTTAATATAAGCATTGCTTAGTTTTTCAAAATATGTTCAAGTGTAAACAAATTTTTTTTTAGTGTAAACATAAACCGAAAAATAACCCGTTTGCATTGTACGCTTATATTTAGAATAAATAGATTTTGTTTCCAATACCCACATTAACGTGAAAGCAAATAATAAATGCAAAAGTTAATCTGAAAACGTTAAAAAAAAAAAACATAAGCAAAAAGTTTATAAAATATGAAGAAACAAAAAATGCAGATTAACGCTAATTAATACATAATCTAAATCTTCATAATGTTAAAGATGGTATTAATTTGGCCATTGTGGGATTTACCTGGCGTTTGCTGCGGCTGGTTGGTGTTGTTACTTGTGGGTGACGCAATGCCTTTTTCCAAGGAATCTTGAACAGCTAAAGTATCTGCATGAACCTGCAGTTTAGCTTTCTTTGCTTCTTCTTCTTTCATCATCTTCTCCATCGTGTCTTCCTCAGCGACAAAGGAAGTTGTGACGCTCACAATCGGGAATATCGTAATTCTAGAAGCTTGATTGAATATCGCAATGGATACTCCAACCGCTGCTAGCTCAACCGCTCCTAAACGCCCGATAAAAGCGGTGTCAATCAGAGAGGCTATTGGATCAGAAGCTAAAGCCAAAGCCGCCGGAAACGCCATGCTTAGTATCTCTCGCCCAATCGCATCCATACTGAATACATGCCTGCAAATTTTATTTATAAAAAAGACGTTATGCATCACTTTTACTCTTAGTATTCACCACTTCATACGAATATACACACACTTACGTTAAATCTTTGAAGATAACAAGAAATGGGATCGGCTTGATCACGCTGGTTGGAACCGAAGTGAGATCACCAGTTTCCGTCATCGATCTTCTCCTTCCAAACTGTCTCTTTGTTTAGTTTGTCGTGTCTGAAAATATCGCAAGTGTTTTCGAAGAATCGAATAAGCAAAGGGAACATTTATATAGCGACTACTGTATGTACAAATGTATGTGTATTTATAGACACGTAATGAGCATGCATATCTTTAGTATCTAATTTTAAAACAAAAGTATGATTTCTTCTACTTTTGATGAAAACAAAAAAAAAAGAGAAGGTTTCCTTCCCTAACTATTTCATGCTCTTTATTTCCGTCCAAACTAAAGACGCCAATAATATGTTTTATTTTAAGGAAATAGGAACAAATAAACATCTATTAAATGATCCCATGATAACTTTTTGTCATACCCTTCTTAACTAAATCTTCTAAGATTTCTTAAATAAATAGTAAAAATATGCAGGTACTGATGAACTATAACACAAAATATAATAATCAATGGTACTGAAGCTGACCGTGAAAGGATATATCTTTTTTCATCGAAAGTTTTCTTACTTGTATTCATCATATATAGTGGGACAGAGTTTTAATTTCTCCTTAGATCCTCATTTATTTTGTTGATATCTTCCACTAAAAAAGTAACATTTTACATAATTGAAATTCACTAGTTGCCGAAAATGTGACTTTATCATTAAATAGCAATTAATAATTTGAAAGTTTCGTTTTTTCTCGTAATTGTTAAATTAAATTTAAATATTATAGTTAAAGGAAGGCGATAGTTGAAAAATAAATATAAAAAAAAACATAAAAGATGGCAACACAGACCAACACAGGTGATTAGTACATATTTGTATATAGTGCGTGTCGTGTATGTAATTGTTCCGTAAGATAAGGCCATCTTTCCCAAAGCATCGATCCACGTCTATTTCATTACCAACATTACCACTTCCCCAATTCATTTTTTTTTTTAAATTGACACATATATCCTAATATAGTTAATTATGTTCAGATTGTTACTTAATACATGAAGTCATTATAATTTCACGAGGTTGTAATATGTGTCAATCAGTACATGTTAATTTGGAAACAATAAATAATAAATTGTGTTTATTTATAAGTTTTATGAATTAATATTCAGCACCATTAACAAAAATGAAGAAAGAAGATATTAACGACTAACATATATGATATATCTGGCATCGTGGTCGTATGATTTATACTCATTCCGTTCTCTCAGTTCTATATTTTGGGATTTTCACACGCTTGATGAAATTATTTGCAATATCATATAATACAACTTTACTCTTATAATTGACTTTTTTAATATGGTCAAAATTATATTATGATGAGTTTAACTGGTATGTGTAAAATTAAGAAAGGAGACATTATTTTAGCATAGAAAATTAGAAACATTCATCTTTGTGGAAAAAAAAACGATCTTAATATATATTCAAAAACAGGGGACGTAGATAATAATTAAGGTCGGATTTTATCCACCAACCAATTCTTAACAAGACGATTTAATTAATCCATAGCACATATGTATAGCCTTTCTCACCGTTATAATACATGAAACTGTCCTTAAGTTGAGATATATACACTTTTGAGATATAGAACATAAATGCTATTAATCAAAAAACATAAATGCCATAATAAGAAGCAATCAAAGAACTTAATTGTGAGATATTTGGAGGTACCTGTATGTAGTCAACGCTTATATAAGTAATCACGTGAAGTTGAGATCATCCGTGAGTGAGTGAGTATTGGGAGAGTTTAAAGGAAGATAATTAATAGGCGTGTGCCAGGAGTAGTACTTGGCTCCAATTAAATAAGTGTGTGCCAACACTTGGCTCCAATTTATACACAAATTCCATTCATATTCTCTCTCTCATTTTTGTCCATATGTTAAAAAACTCTGCTTTTGGTATAAAGCAATGCACATATCCTACTTTATTTACTTTATTATTTTGTATATTAAATTTTTGTTAAAAGTTGGGTATTTCAGCTATGGAAATTATCGGACTTGTAAATATATGCAACTTAATTCTAAAGTTTTCTAAACTTGTAGATAGCAGCACTTAACACACCACATCATTCTCAATTTCCTACGAGATACGTTACATCTTTACATGATAAGTTTGCAAATTAATATATGCACATATTTTCGGAATTGTAAATATATGCTACGTAGTTACATCGTTCTGACTACAACGACATGGTACAGTACTAGTCATCGCGAGACTACCAGTTAATCGGTCCTGTAAATTAGTAAACGAATTAATTTGTCGATTAGTCAGTTTGGTTGTCTTTTTTACCGATCAAAGAAATTAATTAACAATTTGAATACTCTGGCCAGAGCGCAGAGCCGGTTAAGAGATTTGGAGTATGAATTATGAAGTATTCGGATTTGCGTATGAAACTAAAAACATTTTTAGTGAACAGAAAACGTATGAGAGACGTGACGTAGTCGCTGAAGTCACAATCAACGTAACTGTCACAATCAATGAAACAGTTCTTACAACAAAAGTGGGCTACGTAGGATTCCCAATTAAGATGCAACAATGATCAATTAATTTAACATTCATTCGTCTTTTCTTTCGCATTTGTTAATACTTAATACAGTTTTTTTTTTTTTTATCATGCGCCCTCACCTTACCTAATAATTTTTTCCATCACGATACCCATTGAACTACATTCGATACCTCACGTTTCTTATCATCTACTTTTATAAGCTATCCTATGTTTGATTAATTATTTAACTATGCGTTGATTGAATGATTCACATCTCAAACTATTGGCAATGATATGCAAAATGATTCGTGGATGAAATTGTTAGATTTTTTTTTCTTATTAACTTCTTGTTGAAAATCTAGTCTGTAGTGCGCACTCTAAATTCAAAAGATACAATTATTTGACAACACAAATAATACTTTGGTATAAAGAGTACATGAAAAGTACAAATGTACCATTACTTAAATATTTAATAGAAAAACACTTGACGTCTCTCGGAAATTATTTAATTACAAAGACATCAACACTCCAGAATGACACCATTATGTCTACTCGCACAACGGCACGAGCAACTATTTTTATATTGTCTGGTTTCTTTATTAGTGTCATTCTATATATATATTATAAGTCAATTTTAATACAATACTGAATTTACGTTCTGTGGCGACGAAGAAAAGAGGTCGCAATAATAGTCACACATCCTTCAACTAAATAAATTAAAACGTAACCATTGGACGTATTGATAGATTTGGAGAGCCTATGAGGAGGGAAGACATTTGTGCACCTATGGCCCCAAATGGGCCTAGCGTTTCAAGATGAGTTGATTAGTTGAGAACTATGAATAAAACTAGAGATATTTGTATACAAGTTTTTTATCTCTTTCTTTTTAAATGCATGCAATGTCAATATTTTATGTAGCAAATATGGAATATCGCAAATAGTTTAAACCTTCTCGTCATCTGTTATCAACGATATGGTACAAGAGAAATCTCCGGTAAAAGTTCTTTTTTGATAATTTTTTACTGCTCTCAACCAAATTTATGGAAATTAAGTAGGTACTGTGCAACGACTCAGTGAGCTATCATTCCTTCAGTCTAACTCGTTCTTAGATTTCCTTCAACCAAAAAAATATGAGAACTAAATAAGTACAAATGAAAAATCACTTTTCCGTTCCCGTACAGACATTGACATTTATGAAAGGTTTTCGTAATAAAGAAAGAAAATGATGAGAAGTAAGTGTTTCTCATATTAATCAAGAACTAAAAGCAAAAGATAAATACTATTTTTTTCATACATATAAAAAATGATGGACGTAAATCGGGGATCTCAAATTTTAAAACGTGGGATATAAATATGCAGTAAATATAGAGATATGTAAAGAAAAGTACAGTATATAACTATACATAGTTCCATTTGGTTTATTATTTTTCTTTGTAAATTTGGTTTTGGTTTTATATATATGCATCACAAGTTGATAAGATGTAGATTTGCAATCCATCACAAAACATTAATTAAACACACGAAAAATTACATAATAAATTTCATCATTGCTTCTCATTTGCATGATTCCAAAACTTGCAAATGCCTTTAGATACCATACTCTCTGATTCATTTTATTTTTGACACCAAATCTCTGATCGATTATTAACTATGATACCAATCTACATGTTTCTCTTACCACTGTAACTTGGTTGTGTCTCTCGTTGTAAGAAAGAAGCAATAAACAATCGACATTGTGATGATACTTAGGGTTTATTATATTCCAGACAACTCGAAAGTCGGAGATTAATTTCATCCGTAGTATTAGAGGCAATCCAGCTCTCGATTGAAGCATATCCTCCATCTCTCTTCCTGCCCCATACATCGCCCGGTTATTTGTTCCTATGTATAGTCGAAATGTTGTTGACTCATGGCTTGATGCATATAGTTTAGTTCCCTAGTTGAAGAAAAAAGCGATGTATGGATTCATACAACTTAAAATTGATATTGAATTTATACATTTAATTTCTAGGTTGATATTAAAAGGCTTACCTCTGCCTTTGCAAAGTTGAGAGGGCCGAAGAAAAATTTGATAGTTGGAGGATGAAGGTGCAGGCCAAAGACATTAGACTTGTTATCTACTATGAGCTTGGTAGAGCAATTGCAAGTGAGGAACATAGTCGACACTCCATGTGAATCCACGCCTTCTTCTAATACGAACTGATTAAACCTTCCAATCTGTGAAACAACATATGTACATTTTAGTTAGAGACGTAGAGTATAGAAATAAGCTTCATTGTCGTCGTCAAAAACATTTATGAGATAGTACACTTTATTTCATAATACATTTTTTTTTTTTAGGGTTCATCAGGACCGAAGCCCACACTAATGATCGGATCCTAAGGAAAAGACATGTATTATTCACAGTAACCAACAATTCTTGAAATCGCAATGGAATTATAGCCTTTAAATTACATGGTTGCTTATTTCAACCATTAATTAATCCAAGCTAAAAATCAAGGTCATCATCAGAAGCCACCCATTAATCAAAAAATTGGTACTAGGTGAATAGGAGAAGATGCATATTACTCGAAGAGAAATGTTAGGTTGAGGAGGCTGAGTAGAAATGTAGAAGACAAGCAATGCCACTCCAAAGCTGAACAAAAACCTCCACAGTATTTGCAGAACGATCCACCAACGGGAATTAGGGCTCCGCAATGGCATCAACCCCTTCTCATCATCCTCATACACACATTTGTTTTCAGAATATTTCAAGAACTCTGAGTACTTTGGGAATTCACTGACGCTGGCTAAGACCAATGGTACTGAATCAGATCGAGATGGGGACTGGAATTCGGATCCCGGATCATGGAAACCCGATGAAGGGCTTTGGACAAAGTAGTTAGAGTAATGTTCCTCTCTTTTCTCCATTAGTCAACTATTTTCCTTGATGTTTGTTCTTTCTTTTCTTTGGCTGGCTTTGTGAATGTGTGTGATCGATGCGTACATATATAGTTCCGAGAGAGAGAGATATGAATCATATGATTGATGTCTATCTCTGAAATATGTTTCATTGATGAGGAATAAATTAAGCATCAATTATGGCGTTTAAAATTGTATGGTGGACAAAACTATAATTACACAAGTCATGATTTGGGTTTGTTGTTTTTGTAATCCAATATCCTTCTTGCTTAAGTTTACATAGGTGATAACTAACTACTTATCTAATCATTCTACCTAGGAAATTATATATTTCAGTTTTTTTGTAATACTTTAAATCATATGTAATTATGCAAAAAGTATTTATTTTCTTAATTTTATCTCACTAAATTTCTTCTTATAGTAAGTTGGGCTTCCATTTTCATTTTTTATGTTTAGAAATCATTCAAGAATTATAAGCGATATTCTTGAACCTCGTAAAAGCTTTAACCATATTCTTCTTTTCGGATGTCCAATATCTGTATAATCAGGGGTGGGCATACAGACAAACCGAACCGAATTTTATATTAAACCGAACGTTACAGCCGAATCGAACCGAAAAATAGTTTTTAATTTTATTATCTAACACCATCCGAATGAATCCAAACCGGAACCGAATGGATATTTCCAACCAAACCAAACCGAACTAATAAGAAACCCGTATAATCAACCGTAATGTTTCTTTTTGGGCTTGGAGCTTCGATCAGCCCATATACATTTTTTTATTTATTATGTATGAAAGATAATTAGCCATTATAAATTTCTGGCCAAAACCATTTTGTTATACTCTATACCCGTTACTTTGACTATACGTTTACAGTTTTCTTTCACAAATAAATATTTTAAATTTTCTATTTGGAAGCAGTTCAAAGTAGAGGTGGACATTGTGGTTCGGTCTTAGAAGCTAAACTACAAAGCTTACTGAAGGTAATGCAATGTTTGGAGTCGAGGATACCAATAAAGTCAATTATATATATATATATATATAAAAAAATGTAAATCTCAATTAGTTTCATAGATTCAGTTAGTAGAGAAATGATAGAGTATTGTAACTCGGATAAAGATGAGAGTTTGAGCATTGTTTACAGTACCTCACGCAATAGAATAATTTGTTTGTTTTTCTGTCGTCAATAATTCCAATTTTAGGTAGAGAAAGAATGTAGAGATAATGCTTTCTTATTACGACACCGTGTTTTACACATCAAACTCGGATTTGTACAAAACAAAAAGAATTGAAAAGAAAGAGAAAGCTATACAAATAAACCAACGAATCACCTCATTATGTGGGCCATTATTTAAGTACTTCCTCAGCAAATAAAATCTCAATGTACCTTCCTATTCACATTTCATGTACTAAAGGAACCATGCATGGTGACTAGTTCCTCCTCCTATAGGTATAATCTATATATGCATATACCTCTCGCTTCCATGGGCAATATTGTTGTGAATAATAGACATATGATGTTGGAAAATATAGGGACAAGAAGAGAATATACCATATTTGATGGAAGAATAGACTTTTTGCAAAAGAATAAAAAAAACCCAACGCAAGTAGCTCAAATGAGACCATCTTAGAATAGAAAGGACCAACTTCAAATTCGAGCTCTGTAGCGGGAGGAAGTATCTGCTCTGATATCCGGTTCGTGAAGATGAATAAACCGTCTTTGATTTAAAAAAAAAATATGTATGGAAGAATGAATAAGGAAAAATGAGTAAAAAGAAGATAGAATGGGAAAGAGAATATTTTGTCAATCAACTTGGAAATCAAGAAAGGGGAAAGAAGAGTTGTTATCAATGAGACCATCCAAATCCCAATCTCCGATTTTAGGGTTTTCTATTTCCCAAGAATTATTCTCAATCCCCAGCATGTTCCCTACCTTGAAGCTTTCTGAATGACAAAGATTTTTGCTATTGAAGCAAGGATGATCAAGGACTTCTACGTTTAGGTTATTGCTTGTAGTACAAGCAATAACATTGGTATTCTCTGACGAGGGAAGAAACCATTCACCTTCTACTGATACCCTCTTGTTATTTGGATCAAGAATTGTGTTTCCATAATCTCCAAAACCATTGACGTTGAACAAATTCCCTGTGTTTCCCGTTTGTTGATATCGGTTATGGTCCGGTACTGATGATATCATTAATGGATCAAGCTGGTTTAAGCCCACACCACTGACCATGGGTGCAAAGTTGAATGAAGAAGAGTCCATGCGCATGGTGTTCCCAACTATCATCATGTCATCACGATGATGATAGCCATCCATCATTGGATTTGACTTGTCTCCATTGTCCACGTGTTGAGGATCTCTTGGGTCCAAAGAATTACTATTACTATTGTTAGGTGATGATCCTGAAGAAGTACTGTTGTTGTTGTTGTTGTTGTTCTTAAGCCTCTTCTTCAGTGTCGAGTTCCAAAAGTTTTTGATTTCGTTGTCTGTCCTTCCTGGAAGCCGAGTAGCTATCTGAGACCACCTGATAAAATGTTTTAAATTGAAAACAATTCTAAGAAAATATAACACTCATTCTAGTGCCAAATTATCTATACAAACTTTGCATTTGCGTTTACATGTGAAAAAAAGAAAGAAAGATAAAGAGTTACTTATTACCAAGAATGGTTATAGAAGAGCAAAGATAAGAATCATTCTTAGGCTCGGTTGTCTCAAAATGTATACATGTGAAAAAGGTTACCTGTTACCAAGAATGGAATGCAAATGGAAGATGAGATCTTCTTCTTGAGGAGAGAAGGAACCGCGTTTAAGATCAGGCCTCAAATAATTGATCCAACGAAGGCGACAACTTTTGCCACAGCGTAAGAGACCTGCATTCCTAGCAATGTCACTCCAACATCCTTGTCCATTGGTCAACATATACCTTATGAGCTTCTCGTCCTCATCAGGCGACCAAAGTCCCTTTCTTAGCTTCGGTTTGCTGTTATTACCACCACATGCATGATTCGTCTTATTGCCCTTGTCTCTGATCGTAGCAATGTCCGGATTCCTCATCATCATTTGGACTGGTGGAGCCTTTCTGAGGAAGACTACACAGAGAGAGAGAGATTTAGAATTTGGAGAGATTAATGTAAGAAAGAAGGAAGGAAGGAAGGAAGGATGAATAGGATGATATGATTTGTGGGGATTGCTTTGGAATGATTTGAATATGTGTAATGGATATGAAAGAGAGAGAGAGAGAGAGAAAAGTGTTTGTTGGGATTGATGGGTAGAGTAGAGAGAGTCTCTAATAGAGAGATAGATAGGGAGAGGAAATGGGGATGTGAAGAAGAAGCAAGAGGTGGGTCTTTTTTTTTGTTATGGAATAAATTAATATGTCTTCGTTAAAAACATGATGGTAGACTTGTGAGTGAAGAAAAATGCATCGAAAAAGACTGGTTAGAGTCAAAGACAAGAAGAAGACCAACCTCTCTCTCTCTCTCACCCCCACACCACACACGTGTGCTTCAAGTATCAAATATACAAATAAATACATAAGTTTTAGTTTTACTATTTTTTTTAAAAGTATTAATTTCGTTCTCTTCAAATTTTGCTTTTTTCTAACGACAACTAATAACCAACTTTCCTTATCTAAATGTAATATTGTATATGCCGACAAAAAAAGAAGTAATGTTGTATCTCTGTAGGCATGCTTATTTTGAAGCAACTTCCATTTTACGACACAATCAACCGAATCTAAATAAATAAGAAAAATATTATAAACGATTTAAGATCCCGTCAACAAAAACATAGAATATAATAGAAGTTTAAATGATTGATGAGACAAGAACACAATCGCGTCAAAAAAAACACATCTATCTAATCCAAACTTAATTAAGAATACCTGAATACGTGCAAGGTGAATGAACCCAACAAAAAAAATCATGATTTTATAGACTATTGTCTATTTATTTTCACATGACATAAAAATCCCACAAAAGCAATCCAGAGACGAGTTGTTTATAAGGAGTTACCAAGTAAAACCATTATCTTAAAAATAATATTCGAAATAGCATTTTGATTCTAATGTGCATCCAATAAAATGTTTATAAAAGAAACCATCGCTTACTCAGCTGATAAAGGGTTCAGATAACGATTTTTTTTGTTCTCGCACACCCTCAAAACTATACCTTGAAAAAAAAAAAGAGCCGCGAAAATCACCGAATACCTACATCAAAAAAAGAAAAAAAGAAAAGTTAAATTAAATTGCATTCTCATCTTCATCAGGCGACCAAAGTCCTTTTCATAGTTCGGTTTGCTGTTATTACCACCACATGCATGATTCGACTTGTTCTTGTCTATGATCTATTTAATAGAATATATTTCTAACAAAGGTTGATGCTATAGTCCATAAACGTTGTCAATATAAGAACCAAAGGTTTACAAGGATTTACATCTATGCTCCCTAGAGATTATACATCACAAATATTAGATGGGTTTTGATGTTTTTTTGGGTTCTATATAGCTTATAAAAAACAATCGTTGACCGAACTTAGAAAAAGAATAAGAAACAACAATTGGAAGTGGTTTCTATGAGATGACCATTATAAACTTATGCTACTCACGTCCCCACGAACTTTTTTTTTTTTTGTTTCCTATATAAAAACGATGTTGGTGTTACAAAAAGCCAAAGCCAAATCCAAGGGGCCAGAATTGGTTTGAGAGGTCAAATTTGAGTAAACATGGCTTCCTACAATCATTACACAGCGATGGCTGTTTTCACGACAATGACTTTCTCCTCTGCCTTCACCACCTCGGCACAGTATGATTCAGAGTCACATATAGGAGAAGCCTCTTGTTTTTGTTTTCCAGGAATGTCTATAATCACGATCATCTCTTCTATCATCCTTTCTGGATTTGCTATCCTCAGATGGTAGACTAAATGACCACATTTTTCTTAATTTTCCTCTGTTTTTACTCTTTTTGTTGTCCACAAATCTCAATAAAGGAAGGAAAACATTACTCTCTTCTCTTCTCTTGCTTGTGTTTCTCATGCTTTTTCGCTTTCTATAACATTTAAGATGTTCTACAGAATTAGAGAAACACAAGATTTTCAAAGAACTTTCACAATTAGTGTTATGAAAGAATTATTTACATTATTTGTTGGGTATAGCGTAACCAAGCGCACAACATTGTTCAAACAATTTTATTTTTACATAACTGTATAGTAGACCTTCCCTATCTAAATATTATTTTACATTGAGTTTATTCTATGTCCTGATATCTTATGAACTATGATCCTCCCTGAGCATGTCTCCATTTCTAGAATTCAGAAGATATAGCTTGAATCAGCCAACACGAAAGATTCTAAGTAAGATAATCTGAAAGATAAGAGAACAAAAACAAAAGGGAAGAAATTGCTTCACCTAATTTCAAAGGATTGCCAAAACTATTATGAATCACATGAGTTTGGAAAGTATATAAGTTGTCATCACCATCTGTGTTCTGCGTTTGGAAAGAAATTTAGTCATAAAACATAAGCAATAAACCTTACTTTCATGAACTATCAAGTTTTCAACACATGAAAAAACACAAATCTCTACAAAAATTCCTGATAATTACAAACGGGTTTGGAACTTAACTTACATTTTATATCTCTGGGAAAGAATATTTAAATCTGCAGGCCACCAAGGAACTCTGATAGCCTGAAAGTATTAACACCTTGAATGCTAAATTGATTTTTAAAAAAGGTAGGAGAAATGAAAGGATGTTTGACGTTAAATCATATTGGAATAAAGACCTGATAGTGTCTGCTATTAGAGTTTCTCCTTCTTGAGAACCAAGATGCCGTAGAACAACTTCTTCCAAGCGACCATCAGAATATGCATGCTATATAGGAAGACCAAAACAAACGATTTTGACTAAAATCATTCATCTGATGCTTTGGCAGGCGATAAAGAAGAGAGGAAACTACATTAATTTTCTATACCTTATAGAAACAACTTCCTCCAAATGGGCAGTTTCCATTTCCAAAGTTGAAGTGCTTACAGTCGATTGACCTGCAAGATTGGAACAGAACGCTCAAAATGTATCTGCTAAGCATTATCAAATGGGGCCAAGTTTGAAGACAGCTCAGAACAAAAGTTTTGGGAGTTAGCTACAAAACCTGAGTTTTGCCTTGTATGTGTCGATAATTTCCTCTTTCTCTTCAGGAGTAGAGTACCAGACAACACTGGGGACAACAAAGTAAGAGAGTTTGCGACATATAGGACAGGCTCTCAAGGTGCTGTTCACATCCATTCCTGAAACAGGAGAACTACTTCTCCAGTTACGAATGCACTGTATGCAAAAAGGATGATCGCACTCAGTCAACAGCCCAAACTTCCTTTCCCCTGGAGTGGCTTTAGACAAGATGCGATCCAAACACACGCTACACTCGATCTCTTGGCTTTTCTTCAAAGCCTCGATGTGTTTTTGCTTCTTCTCACATTCTTTAGTGTGCTCTTCTCGCTCCTCGGGCCTGAAAGGATGCAAACACTTCTTCCCGCAAGTGGTGCAGATGTCTCCATGCATATGGGGACACTGGTTTCCTCGAGGGCAATCACCAGCTGCAGCAAATGAGCAGATTGGGTATTCTCTTGGGTGGATATAATGAACAACGTTGTTGGGGGATTTGTCACCGTCATCATTGTCCCCTGCAAAACCAGCTTTTGGTCGCCGATTCATAGACGGTGTTAAAGATTGTGGCTGAGAATCTGAGCAAAGAGTTGGTCGTGGAACATTGGAGGCAGATAAAGATTGTGGTTGACAAGTCCTGACATGCTCATATCTACATCTACTTCCGTACAAACAAATTCCTTTCTGATAGAATGTGCAAACCTGATAATTGCATATAACCATCCAAAAAACAAACAAAAAAAACCAGTCATTTTCATCACCTAACTTTGATTCAGAAAGAAAGAAAAATTATAGAGAAGGTTTACATTACATTATTCGGCGGGTTTTTAGAGTCATGGGAATATTCACAATTTTCCCCTTTCAAGCACGAGCCATGGAGAAAGAACTTGCAGAGTATCCTAAAAGAACAAAATCAACTGAATCCTCATGTTTACCCTCCAGAAACCAACCAGCTCCAAAAAAAAAATTCAAAAAGAGTAGATCTTTTCCCAATAAAGAGATTCAAAAACACACAAAATTGAAAACCTTTCCGGAGAAATCAAGAAGTTGGATTACCTGTCGGACATCTGAGGATTGTGGGAGGAAACGAGGAGAGGGAAAGAGAAGAATTACAAGGAAAGGAAAGGAGGAAGCTTTTATGTATGTGAGGGATTTTCTACGGTTTTCAATTTTTGAGGAGACTAAAGTTTTTTTTTTTTTAAAGATAGAGCGCGCTTCACCAGCTCCACCAGGTCTCCTCTTCATTTTCGTCGTTCTCTTTTATTTACTATAATAAATAATATATCCCACTTCTCATTTATACTGCAAAACCAAAACCACCATTTTTTTTTTCCTTCTTTTTTGGAACATGAGGACAAAATAACACATAACAATGTGTTATTTTGCAGTTATGTTTCGTCGTTTGAATTGGAAAAATAAGATGATGGAAGAGAAAGCACCAAGCGTAAGTATGTTCTGTCTGGTATACGCACATCAGGTCGTGAGTAGAACAATGAAAACTCGCTCTTTTTTTTTTTTTTTTTTGGCAGCGAACACACACCAAATTTGGGTGTCGCTATTATACAAAAGAAAAATGCTTGGTGAAAAAGTACGACAAATAAATAAGAATCTAGATAATAATGGAAGAGTGGTGATCAAACCTTAGTTTAAAAGTTTAAAGGTAGTACAAGTAAAACACAAACCATAATCATGATAAAATAGTTTCAAATACAGTGTCACACCTCAGCTACTATATAATACAACACAGGAGACAAGACCGTCGCTCTTGCCTTTTACTGTACTGTACACAATATTACACACAACAAATCAAGCAACCATACATTCGCTCCCACACACACACATAATAACACACCCACACCAAATCCTCCGAACCGAAATTCACAAACTCTCGTGGTACTTAATACATAGATGTCATAAACTCGTGGCACTTAATACTTACCGGACCAGTTCAAAGTGTTTGACACAACCCAATGCCGTATCTCAGTTATCACACAAACTCACACCTCACCAGAAGCTTCACAGACTTGTACTTCTCCCCTTTGCGGCTGTGTAAAGGAAATGCTCTTATTCCTTCCTGTAGCTCCCAAACCGGCAGGCATGTCTGTCCTCCAAAATCATCTTTCTCTGACATGTCATACTCATGCACTTCTAACCGCAGTAGAGCCAGCTCTGGAACGGTTAATGGGAACTCAAATACCTCATCCCAAGCTGGTATCCAATTATCCTCCAACGTCTTCGTCTTCTTCATAACTGTATCCACTGGAACTCCAGCTATCCCTACCTGGATAATTGTAATGAGAGCTCAAATTTGGTATGACCTTGTCATCGGTAATCTAAGAGACGAGGAACATCTCTACTGCAAAGTCATTTTTGTGGGGTCTGAGGGAATCGAATTTACCCTCGTATAGAAGTCAGGAGGTGAATACTGATCGAAGTGGGTGTGGCGGAAATCAAAGTACCATCCTTCTCCCATGTATATAGTTACCTAAATATATATATAAAAAATTTAAATAATGAGTTCACTGAGTTTAATGGATTTGCAATGGAAATGACCAAAAAGAGACTCAGATATCTCACCCTCAGTGTTGTTTTTACAGGTAGAGTAGCTTTTGGGTCAAAGATGTCATTATCCGAGCCACCTTTCAGCAGAATATCGGGTTTCTTGATGTATCCACATCCGCCATTTGCTCTAAACATTCCTTGCATTAGCCACAATGATCTTCCATATCCCTGTACATGGGAAATTGATGATGGAGAATAGCTTCTCCATAATAATGCATTCTTTTACTAATCTATAAAAACAATTTAGTGATACCTGCATATTGAAAGCCACCATTTGAGCACCGTGGCTCCAGCCAACCAATGGGTTGTAATTTGATGAAGTAACTCTAGTTCCTTTTGGGTAAATCCTCAGCAAATTTCGCTGAGTAAACCTGCACCACAACATGATTAACAGGATTCATACTGAATTGACAGACTGCAACTGTTGCTTTGAAAGATATTCAAAACGACATGACCATAATCCATGGATTACCTCACAATCTGTTTCGCATATTTTTCTGCTGCCTTTTCAAGTTGTTCTTCGCTCAAGCTAAGGCGTCTAACCTTGTCAGGATCTACCTTTAAACACTCAGTAATTCCGCCTTTTGGTTTCCCAGCATGGATTGCAATCAGATGTTTATATTGGGGTGGTGCATTTTTCTTTAACTTCTCTCCATCATCATCTTCGTCGTCATCATCATCATCATCATCATCATCATCATCATCGTTATCACCCAAGTCATCCTGCACCAAGAAATAAAACTAACTAAACAACTTTTGTACAAGAACATTGACGGAACAGAATGAAGATCATGTGTCTCCATACAAACCTTGTTACCACTTTTGTTCCTCTGAATAAAGCTCGGAACTTCTCTCCCCCAAAGTTCTTCATCACCCAAGGCTTTACCTTTCTGCACCACATCCTCATCTTTTCCTTCCTTGTACTCTTTCGGGGGTTTTGTTGAGATGATGATCCGCCTCTTTAAAGAATTTGGCGATGGAAACTCCTTCAAAGATTCTCCAACAGGAGGAGTAAACAAGATTTCCCCAAATATCTGGGTAACCATCTAGAATACAACAAGAAGAAAACATCTCTAAAATAATGTAATGATCGATTAAAACAGAAAAAAAAAACTCAAAGAAATGCAAAATGAGGATACCTCAGCAACTTTGGCCTGAAGTTCTGGAGTAAGATGATCTTCAAGAGTCACAACGACAGGATAGTCGGAGACATCAAAGGCATGTGCTCTGATAGCCTTTAGACATTTGATTAACTCCACAGGTGCAGTGAGAGTCCTGTTAGAATGGTTCAGTAAACAACGAGCACTTAACCTTGACTTCATTGATTTGAATCTCAGTAAATATTATACCTTCCGTGAAGAACATCGATATCATTTTTGTTGGAGTTGGGCCATATATCCAATTCAATAACCCTGACACCTTTCTTCAATGCATCTATAATAGGTACCTCACTGCAGTCACTGCTCAGCTGATTACCGGTCAAATAAGAATTATGACCAGTGAATATGAAATAATGCGAAATAGGAGCATCCATGTCTTGATGCACCTGAAAATCATACAATTAGAGATAAGTCGAGAATCAATATAAAAATGAAAGCTAGCGTAAATTAGCCACAATAATATGTATGAACCCGAAATGGTAAAAAATTAAATACTTGTGCATAGATTTTTTTCTTGAGTCAGGGCTCGTTACTGAAAGAGTAAATGCCACTTGTCTAAAAAGTAGAGAGCTTGTGCTACTATCTGCTATTTTTTTTTCTTTTTCACAGAAGCTAGCTAATCATCATATAAAGAAAAAGAATTCAATTGCATTGAACTCGTAAATCAGACCCAGAGAAACACCCTGTAATATGAGTATTTCTTAAGCTACAATAACATGTATGAATGCCGGAATTGTAAGGAATTAAATACTAGTGTCATAGATTTTGTGTCAGGGTTCCTAAAACAGCGTCTGGCACCTTGCCTAAAAAGCACATACTTTCTGCAGTTTATAATTTCACAGTCGCTAGACATATAAGGAAAAACAATTAAATTGCTTCAAACTCTCAGTGAAACACCCAACATGATTTTTGTTTAAAAATTCGCGCTTTTCTTAAGAAGGAAAACGAATTAATCTGGATCCAAAATTTCTTATGTCAATCAATAACAGTTGAGTTCAAATTTAGAAATGAAAAAAAAATAGAGAATTACCTCACGTAGAGCAAGTGGAGGGTTATTCTCACCAAAAAGGTACTTGAAGAAAGCATCAAGGTGGAGACCATTACGATGCAGAAGAGAAGAGGCGGCATTGATAATTGACTGTGCATCCTCTCTGGTGGCTTTATCTTGCTTCTGAACATCGATCAGAAACCTGTGGAGATGATCGACGGTCATAACCCCATTCTCCGAGTACTTTTCGAAAATGGTCTTGATCTCACGCGGTGCCTCCGATGCAGTATACCGAAACCTCCGGCGAAAGCAGAAACATACTCTGTACGTTTGCTTCGACATGAGGAAAGGGAACGACGGATCCTTGGAATCGGAGACGAAGACGATGAAGCAAGTCAGAATAATTGCTTTTTTTTAGGGTTTGCGTTCGACCAGAATTATCTTCTTCTTGTTTGTATATCCTTTAATGAAATGTACCCACCCCCATGTAATCAATCTTGCAACCTTCTCGAAGAGATCTTCAATCTCTCTACTGCGAATATACCCAAAGCAAACTTCTCTTCTAAAAAACTACGAAAGCTACAAATGTTTTGGGCTTTATTGGGCCTTTGAATCAGCAGAGCCCATAAAAAGAATTTCTAGGGTTTTTGCTGCATTTAAAGGAGAAATCTGAACACAACCTACAAAATCTCTCTCACATTTCCGCCGCTCCTTTCCTGAAATCTGAACACAATCCGTTGAGGAAAAGGGTTAATCTTCTGCGAAACCAGCATGAGAGCTAAGGTGAGTAATAGATTTTATGTAATGGATTTTAATTCCGAGAAATGGAAGTAGTGGGTAGGATATTTATGGTGTTTGGGTTTGGTTCTTATATCAGTGGAAGAAGAAGCGTATGAGGAGGTTGAAGAGGAAGAGACGAAAGATGAGACAGCGATCTAAGTAGTTTCGGAAACTGTTCTGTCTTTCTTCCTTTTAAAAACCAATACTTGTGGGAGTTTTGTTGGTTTACTGTTTGAATTTGAATGCTATGTTGGACCAATATTATGTTTATTACATGGAAGGTATCCTTTATTTTCTAAATTCTGCTTATAATTGGGCTTCGATGATGATCGTTAGCTAGTTTCTACGTAGGCTTAGTTGTATATCCTTGTGAACCTTTGATATTCTGACCACGAAAATGTTAGATTCTTGTGACGCTTACGTGCAGTATCTGAATGGAAGGAATGCTTATTATTTATGCACATCGCGGTATAGAAATCACTCAATAATACATGGGATGGATTGATTTCTGTTTACCAAAACCTCCTTTTAGTGTAAGGAAACAAAGAAATTGGTTTTTTGAGTTTCGTTAGGAATTACCATTTTGAGTTCCATTTTTTGTTTTTGGCCGCTTAGAGCATCCTCATTGGAGTACCTCATGAGAGTTGCCCAACAACCGATCAGGGTGCTCGTACAACTTTTGCATGGTTTCGTGTGAAAAATGAGCCTTCTTGATACGTCTATGTCATTCTTGTTGTATGGACAAAACGAACATTACGATTGTAAAACCCGTAGTCATTTAATAATTAGTAATCAAATGGAGAGTCAAGAGAAGGTAATCAGGGGCGATCCATAGATTGTAAGAAGTCATAATTTGGAATCCGCTGTAATAGAAGAATCAAAAATAAGTGGATAACAGTCGCTGAAAGAAATTACAAACTCATCAGTGCAATTGAGTCTTTACGTTTCTATTCTCTTCGCAAGAAAAAATGGCTTTCAACACCAATAAAAAAGACTCACCTAAAGCCCCAAAGAATGTTACAAAGAAAGTAGGTTATTATCCACACACCTCTTATAAAATCAAAGGAGAACAAACATTATTCACCCAGACAAGTTCTGGCCAGGGACGTGTAGCAGACGAACACTGCACCGGGAAATTGGCTGACTCTATTGTGTTTCAGATAACTTGACAGGTAAACTTTCCAAATGTGAGGATTCAAACAAAAGTGTGTGTCTTAGTAGCCACCCATCGGCGGCATTCCAAATGGTGGCATGGGAGGCATTCCTGGCATTCCGCCCATTGGTGGTGGCGGACCATATCCACCACCTCCCATTCCTGGCATCGGTGGTGCGGGTAAAGCAAGTGGCAATAATTGTGCGTACATGTTCTGTTATAACAAAGAAACAAAACATTACTCTTAAGTTTATTTGTCAAAAGAAAGAAAGACTCGCGATGATATCTGAGTGTAGCTGTCTAAGTTACCTGTTGGGACATGACTTCTTTCTCTTCCTGCTCTTTGGCCTTCACCTCTTTTTGTGCCTCCAGCTTGTCCTTGATTAGCTCATCCACTTTGCCCGTGTACTCTCGGATAAACTGCAAAAAAAAAAAAAAAAAGTTACGGGATTAAGAAGGTTCATCATTGAATGATAAAATGGTTTCTCATCAAGCAGAAAATAGCGAGAGTATTTGAGGACTAGGATAAATCACCTGGAGTAGATACGGGAAGGCAAAGTCGATCATATTGTTGATCCAGGCAAGTTCTAGAGCAACGTCTGGTCGGATTAAATCATAACATACAAAAAGACACGTAGCAAAGCATTCCTTTTTGCCCTGTATTATAAGCACAACATAAGACAAGGGATATTAATTTCATCTTCTTGACCAATAGTTTTTCTGTTTTACTGCAAAAGCTAGCAAATAAATAAATAGATTTCGGTTTAATTCTGCTCCAAACCATCCATACCTGTTCGATGAAGTAAACCAGCAGTTGTTCTGCAAGTTCGTGGTCGCCAGATTGTGAAGCAGTTTCCATACAGTCTTTGTACATGCTATCTTTCTTTGACAAAGCAATTGATTGCTTCCATCTCCCTGCTTTCTTGTAGATATAAGCAGCCACACGTCTCATTTCTACAAGCTCGTGTTTCTCAATCTGTTCGCACCATTCATACGAAAGATTATATTAGGCCATCGTTTTTTCCCCCGTAAAAGATAGAATATATATAAAAAGTGTCGTATATCTAAACTCTACCTTCTGAGCAAGGCCTATCTGGTCAAAGCTGTCATGGAAATCAATAGACTCGCGTAACCTATCGTAGTCTTCTTCCTCTACGTATATCTCATTCAGAGCTTCATTAACAGCAGAGACATTGTTGCTCTGAACTGCAACCATGTATGGCTTGATAAGACGCAACTGACCAGCCTAAGATCAGAAGAAACCAAATGTTAAGTAAGACAGCTCGGATGTTTTTTAGGGAAAAAAAAAATCATGGTCAGTTTCTAACCTTCCGCATAATATCAACAACACGTGTGTGATCTAACCGCAAAGCAAGCACATTGAGAAGATCATTGATTAGATCAGGATGCTCTTGTAAGTAGAAGTGCACAGCCTTGTAGTACAGCTCGACATTTGCAACCTTGGCAACAATATCTTTGAATTGCATGTGCTCCCATGCTTCAGGAGAATGGTTCATGACAGTGGTCGCGGCATTATCAAACTCATCATATTGAATGTACAGGTAGGTAAGTTCCTGCCAGTGCTGTTGTTCATCACAGGCCCGTATAAGCTTGGGAATATTAAGGCGAGTGGAGAATAACTTGATATGTTCCATAAGTTTTTCATAACGATATCTAGCATAGAGTACACCCAACTCAGTGAAGATACCCATGTGAGCACGCTCCAGCCCAAGCCCACTCTCCATAAGTGAGATTAATTCATTAAAGCACCCTCTGTTTTGGTAGAACTCGCTGACTTCTTCCAGGTCATCCACCTATCAAGCATCAAAAAATTACCAGTGGCACGAGATATATATGAGATACATATAATATCATACAAAATTTAAAATTTTTAAACCTGTATGAGGAAACTTTTGTGCTAACGATACAATGAACTAAGATCAGGTATTTATTCACCTGAATGATAATGTTAAGACCACATATCTGGGCCAACCGGAATTCCTCTGCATCAACACAAGCAAAGCATACTTCTTTCCATGTCTTTGCACTGTTTGCTTTCCTTGCAGCATCAACAGCACCTTGGAACTGTTGCAACTTCACAAGCGTGACAGCTAACTTGCCCCAGTTTGATATGAACGCATAGATTATTTTAGCAGCCTCATATAGAGCTTCGTCATACAGGCGATCACCAACATTTTGTAGGTTAGCAACGTTTGGCATCAGAATGAATTCTTCAATCTCACCTAACCTATCAATCTTTGCATATGCATAGATGAGCTCACTATCAACCTTGGGTTCCTTCACCTTCTGTCTAACCATCAGAAGGTATCTGACCAAGTCATCATAGACATTAGCATCTTCAGTAGCACGTATGACCTCCAAGAAATGAGTGGCATCATCAGCACGGATGAAGGATTCAATTGCATCACTGACTAGTCCTTCCCTGAGTTGAGCCTTTGCGACTTGGCTCCAGACAGCATCTTCTTCGACTCGGAAAGCAAACTCAACAGCACGCTCAATGCTTTTGACGCTATCCAGCAATACGTTGACAGCCTGAACATTTAAGTTAAATTTCTTAAAAATAGCAAAGGCTTCCTCATACAATTGGGCTTCAACTGCCACTTCTCCAACAGCAGGTCCATCAAAGTTGTCCAGCCTGTTAATGTAATCCATAACTCTAGATGGATCTGCCTTGATAGCTGTCAATATAAGCAGATTTTGTAGATTGAAGTTTCCACTGAAGGCAGAGTTTTGAAGCACAATCTTTTCAAGAAGCTCAATAAGCTCGTGCGGCAAATCGGCAGTCATGAATGCTTTAACAGCTGCAGAAACTTGCTCTGGGCTCTTGCTTTCAGGTAAAGCAGTAGAAACGACTTGGTCAATAAGTTGTCTTCTATAATCATTGTTTTCATCAAGAACCTTATCCCAGAGATCACCATCCATCCTCTCCACTACATACCTACAGTCGAAAAACCATGTATTAGCAATCTACAGAGTAACCACTGTGAACTAAGTAAGAATTTTTATAAGCAATGATCAAATACCTGGCTTGTAACTTGAACAAAGAGTTTTTGTTGGTGACATTGATGAGTTCCTCGTCACATTGTCCTCTTCTGTATGCCACAACAGCCAGGGTAGGATCACGTTTCTCGCAGTACTTACCCACAACCCGAGAGTCATAGTACGGGTTGGTGGTCAGGAAATGCTCAGGGTTGTTGTTACTGTCGATAATAATTTTACCCAAGGCATTATGGACATGAACATCTTGGCTTCCCTCGCTAACTAGATGCTCCAGGAACTGAGTGAGGAGACGGAGTCGATTTCTGAAAAAGCAGAAACATATTAGAGCTTCCGGGACTACATGTTATGAACGGAAACCAGGATGACCAAAAGGATTCACCTCTTCTCGCATTCTTCCACAAGGGGTTCAACAGGTAGCAATGAACGAACAGAGAGAATGAGGCCTTTTATAAAATCTTCAGGGCATTCATCATCAAGCAACTGCCCCACAACTAAGGGAGCATTCCCAGGGTTCACCTTTGTAAGGAATCACACGTTTAAGTATTTAATTAAAATAATCTGACCTCCAATGCATTAAAATATTCCCAAGAAACTCCCTACCTTTTGAACGTAACCTTCAATGTAACGAAGCATATTGTTTGTGTAAAGGTAATGAGTAAGATCAGGCACAAAGCCGAAACGGTCGCAGACATTTATCAAAGGTCGGGCATCAGGAAGCTTAGCTTCCATCAAAAAGTTCTTCGTCTTTTCAGCATCATAGAAGTTCGACTCTCTAGTCACACGCTCAACCTCCTTTATTTGACCAGTCTTGGCAGCTGCTTCAATGTACTTGAAGTGAATCTCGGGATCCTCACTGTTGCACAGAGGGAAAACATTGTCGTCATCAGCATACAGACACAAGAGTCGTGCTTGTTTACAGGAATGACAGTAGATTCTATATAAATCACCTCATACTCAAATATGAACCTAGGAAAAAGTATAGCCCTTCGTATGATTTGAACTGCTCAAAGAGCTTAATACATGCATCAACACCAAGTTGCTCGCAGTACTCTTTGCAAGCCTGCAATTATATGGACACGTTAGTGTCATATTAAACAATAAAATTCATCATACCAGACACCACTTA